CAGATTTTTCAGTTCACTGGTGATCCAGGGTTTGTTATTAGCGAAGCATCTCGCTGTTCTGGTGGGTATGATGGTGTCCACACAGAAGTTTATATAGTCAGTGACACATCCAGTCATGACATTGATGTCCTCTTCATATCCTTGGCAGAAAGTCATCCAATCTGTGGTCTCAAAACAACCCTGCAGGGCTTCTTCAGCGTCCTGTGACCATTTTCTCACAGTTCTTCTTGTCACAGGTTGCCTCTGAACAAATGGTTTGTATTCTGAGCAGAGAAAAACAAGACTGTGATCTGATTGTCCCTGATGGAGGTCTTGTTTTGGACATGTATGCATTCTTTAAATTTGCATAACACAAATCCAATGTCTTGTTCTCTCTGGTGGAGCAGCTGACAAACTGTTGAAATGTTGGAAGTGTAGCAGAGAGCGAGGCATGATTAAAATCACCAGATATAGCCACAAATGCATTGGGGTGCTGGGTTTGTAGCTTAGCGACAATGGCATCACATGCATTTTCAGCAATGGCTGAAGGTGGAATATAAACGGTTGCCAAGACAACACTGGTGAACTCTCTTGGCAAAAAATATGGGCGACAACTTACTGCCAAGAGTTCAACATCCGGGCTGCAGAGACAACATTTCACTGAAACATGACCTGGATGGCACCATCTGTTGTTGACAAGCACTGCCACTCCACCTCCTTTTCTTTTCCCGCTCCTCTTCAGATCTCTGTCTGCTCGTAGTGTCAGGAATCCTGGCAGAAAGACGCTGGAATCGGGGATATGGTCCTGCAGCCACGTCTCAGTGAAACACATAACACTGCATTGCCGAAACTCTGGCTGAGTCCTTGAAAGGGCTTGGAGTTCCTCCATCTTGTTGGCCAGTGATCTCACATTGCCCATTATGATCGATGGAAGAAATGGTTTGAATTTCCTCTTTCTCTGTCTTCATTTTGCTCCCGCTCTGCACCCATGCTTCTTGCGTTTTAGCTCATTTGAGATTTGTGGCTTCATTTGAGGTATTATTTCAGCCTTTCCAATGTTAATCAGCTGCTCCGATTGTAAACCAACTTGTTGTCATGGTTACACATCATAACAAATGCTCAAAAAGTGAAAAAATAGCAGTAAAAATCTTCCAAGCTTCACAGCACCAAAAACAGATACGTAAAATGTCGAAGAAAAATACAGTTTTTCTTGAGAAACTAGAAGAAAAAATGTCCAAGAAAAGGCAAAACGTACATATAGTCAACAGAGCTACTCCAACATGCAGCCACCCACAGCTGCGCAGTTCCAGAATAAACTCCACCACTTGGGGCAGGACCTCATCCCTGATATGGAGAAGGCATTCTACCCTTTTCCGGTTCAAGACCATGGTCTCGAATATAGAGGAGCTGATTCTTATCCCAGCTGCTTCACACTCAGCTGTAAACCGCTCCAGTGAGTAGTTGGAACACACTCGGCCATCCCGGTCTGTCAGTCCAGTGGAATTGCCCCTGATGTCCACACAATACTGCAGAGCCGCATCAGCCAACACAACCCTACTACATCCGGAGACTTAAGGAACTCTCATCCACCCCTGGGGCCTTGCCGCTGAGGAGCTTTTTAACTACCTCAGTGACCTCAGCAGAGATTGGAGAGCCCAACCCAAAGTCCCCAGACTCCGCTTCCTCACTGGAAGACGTGCCAGTGAGATTGAGAAGGTCTTTGAAGTACTTTGCCCACTGATCCACAACATCCCGAGAAGGGGTCAACAGCAAACCGTCCCCACTGTAAACAGTGTTGGTAGCACACTGCTTTCCCCTCCAGAGTCACTGGATGGTGAATCAGAATCTCCTCAAAGCCAAATGGAAGTCTCGCTCCATGGTCTCACCGAACTACTCCCATGCCCAGGTTTTTGCCTCTGTGGCCACCTGGGCCTCGTTCCACTTGGCCTGCCAGTACCCACCAGCTGCTTCTGGAGTCCCACAGGCCAAAAAGGTCTGATATGACTCTTTCTTCAGCTTGACTGCCTCCCTAACTGTCGTGTCTACCACCGGGTTTGGGGGTTGCCGCCACTACAGGCACCAATGACCCTGCAGCCACAGCTCTGATCAGTCGCATCGACAATAGAAGCACAGAACTTGGCCCACTCAGACTCAATGTCCCGGCTTTCCCCAGAACATTTTGGAAATTTCTGTCGGGGGTGGGAATTGAAACTTCTTCTGACAGGAGACTCTGTGAGACATTCCCAGCAGACCCTCACAATATGTTTGGGCCTGCCAGATCTGACTGGCATCCTCCCCCACCATCGGAGCCAAATCACCACCAGGTAGAGATCAGCTGACAGCTCCTCTCATCACCCGAATGTCCAAGACACGCGGCCGCAGATCAGATGAAACGACAACAAAGTCGATCATCAAGCTGCAGCTTAAGGTATCCTGGTGCAGAGAGTACATATGGACACTTTTATGTCTGAACATGGTGTTCATTATGGACAATCCATGACTGGCACAGAAGTCCAATAACAAAACACCGCTCGAATTCAGATCAGAGGTGCTGTTGTTTTAACAAACTCTGTTCATATTGATGAATTATATGAAGGCAATTTTTCAAGGGCTGGCCGATTGTTGGATGATTTAATTAGTTGGTTTTATTTTATGAACTTATTGCTTCATTGGGTGCTTGTTGTCTTTCTTTTCAGACATCATCTTAGCTGGATGCCTTTTGGATGCTTTGTTTAAAAAATATTTTTTTATATTTTTATTTTTTGGTAACACTTTACATTAAGGGTCCCTTTATTAGCATTATTAATTATTAGTGCATGAATAAACAAAGGATCCCTCTATTAACATTCTCGATATTGTCAACTATTAAGTGCCCTTAAGGTCAGGACAAAGGGCGGGGGGATGTCTGCTTAGTAATGCATTGCGTGATATTAACATTACTATTAAGCGGTTGTTAATACTTTATTCAATAGTTTATTCATGCTTAATAATGCACTAAGTGACATTAATAAAGGTACTCTTATTGTGAAGTGTTACCCACTAATGTCAGGCTTTTATGTTAAGATTGGCTAATCATCAAATTGTATTACTGTGTGTGTGTGTGTGTGTGTGTGTGTGTGTGTGTGTGTGTGTGTGTGTGTGTGTGTGTGTGTGTGTGTGTGTGTGTGTGTGTGTGTGTGTGTGTGTGTGTGTGTGTGTGTGTGTTACGTCTTTCTTTTATTGATTGTGAATTGTAATGAGCACTGTGTTCTTGCACAGAAAGAACAGTTTTCCAAATTTAAATTGCATGAAACTAAAGATGGAGTTCAAAACAAAAAAATAGGAAAAGAGAGAAAATTCTCATGTGACTTTCTTCTTCTTGTTTCAAGAAACCCCAGTGCAGCAATTCAGGAATCTCATTCATCCAGCCTCACTCTTTTAGACATAAATCATCCTGTCTCCACCTCTGCAGAATGCACACACACACACACACACACACACACACACAAAGCAATATACATGCAACATAAAAATGATATGCAAGCTCTTCACACTGCTGCACTCTCAGCTGCTCTGTCCAACTGGCTCTGCTAGTCACAATCCTCCATCAATTGCCAGTTTGAAATAGACAGTTTTACCAAGGATGGTGGGCAACACATTTTCGTGGGCATTTTAAAAGAATTTAGCAACAGAAAACTATTTGGGATTGCAGGGGTATCCTTTTATCTTATTCTGGAAACTATTGTAATTTACAGTTTCTACATAGTTGTGGTGAATTTTAACGAGGAGATTCCCAAGGTTAGATTTCAAATAGGATTATCACAACTGCCTAAATCAGGGTTCATTATCTTTTTTTCCAAAGACCAGAAAATTATAGATATTGTTTTGTTGTGACTTTTCTTCTGAGTAACTTTGCTGAATATGGAGGTAAATAGAATGTAAATGAATTGAATAGTGACTAACAATAAAAGCCTACCTGTGGGTAAATGATTACCGTATGAAGTTAACTGTTATGTTAGTCACTTCTAGAGCTACATCTAATAAAAATTCTGTCCAATAATTAGAGATATTACTACTCACATAGCAGACTATCTCACTCCCAACTATCTTTGCGCTTGCTTTTGTTAATTAGCTGTGGTGGCCATCTTGACCTACTTTCTGAGGTTCATAAGATTGTGTGGTTTTGAGTTTGGCAGCATTTGGAAATTATCTTAAATACACATAAAATATCCTTCAAGGCTAAAATTGAACCTACTCTGGTCTTCATTAGGTCAGAGAGGCCAGATAGACATTTTATGAGATCTTCGGCTTTCCACTGAGCTAATCATCCGCATCAGCCTGTTTCCATCTATCCATTATATTCGCTTATCCGGGGTCAGGTCGCAGGGGCAGCAGCAGAGGCCCAAACTTCCCTCCTCCCAGCCACTTGGGCCAGCTCCTTCAGGGGTAACCCCAAAGTGTTCCGTGGCCAGGTGAGAAACATAGTCCCTCCAGCATGTCCTGGGTCTTCCTTTAGGTCTCCTCCAGGTTGGATGTGCCCAGAAAACCTCACCATGGAGACATCCAGGAGTCATCTTAACCAGATGCCCGAACCCCTCAACTGGCTCCTCTCAATGTCGACAGCAGATCTACTCTGAGCCCCTCCTGGATGACCAAGCTTCTCACCTCATCTCTAAGGGAGAGCCCAACCACCCTGCAAAAAACACAGGTGTTAACGAGGGCTGTGTTCCACTCCTGCAGCTGTGCAGGTGGTTCTTCTGTAGAACTTCCAACAAGCAGAAGTTATTATGAATGGAATACAACCTTCATCAACATGCCTGTTTTTTCCATACTTTTGCAAATCAAAATGACTACAAACACAACAGGAATGTGGCAAAAACAAGACTAAGTATAAAGTGCTCTCACTGGTTAAAGTACTTTCATTCTCTAAACTGAGTCAAAGCTGACCAGATCTCTTATGAATAACTGTGTCGTTTCAATGTTTTCAAAGACTTTCTGATTTATTTTCTCTCTAATTGTAATTTTTCGTCATGTGTCCACAGTCCAGGAACAGTCTCCAGAATGGGGATGTAGATGGGGCCAGGAGGCTGGGTCGTCTGGCTCGTCTGTTAAGTATCGTCTCTATTATCCTGGGACTGCTCATCATCATAGTCTACGTCTCCGTTCATTTCACTGGTAATGACACAGAAACAAGTGGAACAAATCACAAAATCTGATCATGCTAACTCAAGTTTTTTTTTTTTTTTTTGCACATAAAACTTCAGAAAAATGTAAATCCTTGCGCAAAAAGCATTTGATACTATGCAAAGCTTTCAAATGTCTCAGTAAATTTTTTTTTTAAATCTGACGTTTTTCTTCTCTTTTAGGAAATCACTAACCTGGAGAAGATGAAAAAACAACATCAAAGCCAAAAAAACAGATGCACTGAAGAAAGACTTAAACATTTACTCCATTTTGCATCCCCACCATGGCCAACTTCAGATAGCATTTAAAAGAAACAACCACGTCGTGAGAGATTCAACAAGTAAACAAATTAGAAATTATATCACTGAAAGATGCATGCATTAGACTTCAGTAACGTTTGCCTGATGAAAATATCCTGCAGTAAACTTCTGAGGAGAGAAGTTCACCAGGGGAGGAGCTGAAGTGTCTGTGTTTTCCTGCAGAACGAGGACTTTTCAGAAATGAAGACTTGTATAAGTGGCGAGAATGAATGATGGACTTTTTTACGTCTGCCACGAGGCTTCTTGGGGGGGAAAAAAATCAGAATTGGTCTTTAAACATGAGAGAGCTTGTATAACCCTCGTATATTATTGAACATCTTGCATTCAAAGCATTTACAATTTAAAATGTATATTTAAATGCTGATAAAATATATAAAGTAGACGTACCTTTTTTAAAGATGTTTGTAAGCAATGCTGGGTTTGTTGAGACCGTCCCGCCGGCTGAACGTCAGCACCTGGAGTATCAGTGGACGTTAGTGAAACGGTGCCGGGACACGGTTCTTACGTTTCCTCATGATTAATGAGACCAACTGCATGCCTGAATGTTAATAACAAATATCCTGCCTTCTTTTGAACTGTTGTTTCATATCTTAAGGGAGTAACATTTGCACATAGACATTTTTTGTGTACATTTAGCAGAATCACTCCCATTTCTCATCAAGATTTGATTTAATTGAGCAAAAACAGAAAAAGAAAGCCAATATTTGCATCTTTTTTAAACGTTACCTTCATCTTTACATCCTTTTTAAAATATTTTTCCTGTGAGACCTACGGGCATTGTTTCTTCACTACCATTCCTACATCGCACTGACTGTTAAAAGCCATTGTTTCACTGAATGTCTTTCCTCCTTGTATTCTAATGTAATGTATTTATACAGGAACATCTACCCACTATGTCTGCATGCGATGAGCCAAACAGGCCGATGTGCACTTATTTTTGTAAATGAACAAGTATGTCAGTTTGAGTGAGATAAAAAGGTCTTTAAAGGAGATTATTTAAAATCCAAGCACGAATCAATAAGGTTGGGAGTAAACTCTGTGTTGAGTTCTCTGATAGACCACAGTGAGGCAGTAGCATTACTTCAAGATTTTTGTTGTTGTTTTGTTGATTTTTAAGGGCCCATTTAGACAAAATGCATTCAGCTGGTTGCCATTTGTTGAGTTCTAATGGTTTCGGTCACTACTGCAGCTCCGCCCTCTCGGTCTGCCAGGCAACGCCTACTAATGTTGCATTTTTCAAAATTGATATTTGGGTGGAGGACTCTGAGGCAGGGTTGACAACCCCTTTAAGGGCTTTTACAAATAAAAACATCAGCTACACACGGTAGCTAATGTGATCCTAGTCCAAAACTGAACCGTGTCAAAGATTAGCACTTTAATCACCGTGATTTCTGAAACCGTTCCAGTCTGCAGCTGTATAGAAAGATTAGTGCATCCACACATCAGAAGACCCCCACGTTTACTGACCTGCAGCTCTTCTTCTGTGGTCCTGGTGTCCAACCCACGCTCTGCTGTCAGTGAAACGCTTACTTTGACCTTTATATTTGGTTGGTTCATTTCCACTCTGCTGTATGTGACTGTTCTCATCAGCTCTGTGCTGTACTTTCTGCATGTCAGGAATAAATGTTACCATGCATGGCCCAAGCTTGTTCTGTTTTTCTGTGTGACGACAAAAAAAAAGATGACGTACGAGATTAAAACACTGTAGTACCAAAAACACGACGCTGATGAGAAACAATACCCCGCAGGACGGTTCATCAATTCTAACTTCTTTATATTTTGTGTATAAGCAACTACACTTTTTATTTCAAATTAATCTTAATAGCTTCAGATCTAAAAAAAATAAAATAAAATAAAACTCATTTTATAACTGATTAAGTCAAAATGTTTTCAAAGGCAGAAGGTGTGAGGTAATATTTTTCACAGGTATTATTTAGTATCTTTTCAGGTAAAATCATTTTTTATAAAACACCTTGTTTGTGTTAAAATGCTGTTTTATGCGTTTAATTTGGTTCTTTGGAAAGTTACCCGTTATGTGTCGATACAAAACTGGTTTAAGCCTTTAGTTTTGGGCCACTTGTGCTCGAGTAATTTACGAGTCAGTTAAGCAGCCGAACAAATGTTTCTCTGAAATGGCCAGGCAGGCACTGGACTGAGAAAGAAGTTAAAAAGCAGCCAAAGTCCTGAAAATAACGTTTAGAAAACCTTCATAAAGTCTGCAGGACTATTGATTAGGGCCATTACAAGAAAGTCATACTCATTCGTAGAATATAAAGCAATCTGAGGTGATTTAAAACATCTGCAGAGTACTGTGTACCATTTGCATATTGAGTGAAAATACTTAAGAATTTAACAAAAGAAAACGCTTAATGGGGCTGGTTGGCCCCCATAACATCCTGATATTAATCAGCATATCACAGCCAACTGGGATTTTATAGTTGGATCAGTAGTCAGCAGGCTTCCTGCAGAAATCCTATTGCCAAGATACAAGAAACTTTAATTACTGATTAAAATCTTGAAACACCCCAGAACAAGGTACCTATTTCAGAGTAAGAGCCTTTTGTAAAATTATAAAATATGAAACCAACATAAGCATGAAATTAATGTTTGTTTTACGTTAAACAGGCTCAGAAACATGGATTTTACTCCATCATGTCAAATCCACCATAACAGCACTGCAGATGGTTATGGCTGCAGTGCTGTTATGGTGGATTGCACCAATCAGGAGAGCTGTAGCTGTGATTGGACAGAAGTCTGCACATGCAGCAACCCCCATACATGGTTTGGCTTCAGCAAAAACAAACAGCATTTATCACAACAGGCCCAGCTCCAGCTGACAGAAAATATGGGGAAAAGAGATGGTTGCCCACTTTTAAAACCACCTCTCTTTAGCCTTTAAGACAGCAGCAGGGTGATTCAATTCAATTTAGTTTGTTGACTTGTCAGGAGTTTCTGATGCAGGCTGAATCAGACGCTCAGATCTCTGGATTTACCGCTGAAGTCATGTGACTTCATGTGCAAACATTTGACACCACACCATCACTGCATTTTCTTCCTACAAGAACATTTCCTGGAACTATCTGCTGTAAAGATCACAAAGAGAGAAATAAACACTTTAAAAGGCTGATCAGGAGCGAAACATTAAGAGCATAAGCACAATAAACTGAATTTATCCTCTTCAGTGCATCGAAGTGGGAGGATTTTATTTGGATTCCAGTCAACCTGCAGCTTGAAGCAGTGTGAGCAAACCACATTTATGTTTCTCACACAGCTTTAAACCCCATTACCTTCACAGACAAAGACTTGAATCGTTTCCCTCTCCAACATATTAATCTTGCTTTATCGTTTTTCATAAAAGATCTAGATTCAACTGTTCTCTTTGATTTTTTACGAATATTGAAACAAATTCAAGATTTTTGCTAAGAAAAAGGGAGAAAAACACCCAAAAATGCTCCTGCCTGACTTTAATATTTTATATTTCTCTCACTAAACAGTTACCTAAGAATAAAGGAAGGTTACTGAGTGAAGCGATGCATGATGTATTTCTCTTCATCACCCTCCTGTCCATATTTATTTTCTGACAGAGGAAAAAAAAACAATAAAACAAACCCGAGAAATTAACAAATCAAATGGAAAAACTCTTTTCTGGAGCTCTGAGACGAAACACCGTAAGATCTGGGAATTTCTTTTTCAATTTAGAACAAAGTCAGTCACACACTTTTTAAAACAATTACTGATATGAATAATTTATTAATTCACTTTTAACAGCTCGATGAATTACCAACCCCACTCCGTCCATTAAAGAAAAAAATCCTTCAATTTCCCAAAAAAAATAACCCACCAGTTTCAGTCTCTTTCTGCATCCTAAAGCTTCTTTTCTGGATATTGTTTAAAAAAAAAGATCTGGTTTTATTAGTACGGTCAGTCCTCATTTTCACGTTGGTGGGAGGAGAAGCCCCCGTCGGCCCTTTTAATGTTTCACGGTTAAATTACAGGCTCTGCGTGAACGTGTTTCTGACGCAAGCTGGACCCGCCAGGGTCATCCGATAGCGGAGGTGGTGTTTCCACACGCTACAGGTAAATCCGGCCTTTAAAGGTTTCATCCAAACAGGTTTTCAGTGGAAAGCGTAGAGGAGAAGGAGAATGGTGCAAACACCGATCACAGTGCCGAGGATGAGAGAGTCCCGCCTCTTTCGAAGGTTGATTCGCTGGATGAGATTGTTGATGGTTGGGAAACGATCTAGAAGAATCTAGAGTTAAGGAACATCTCCATAATTAAAAAAATAAATAACAATAGTCTAATTTGTGCTTTTTAGTTTCATGGAAAAACTATGCTTTTCTAATTAAAGTAGAAATATTAAAGTAGGTTAATATTTAGTGACATCGTGAAGGATACTGGCCAGCGTGTTGACTCTGCTCTGTATGGATTTCAGCACACCCCTCTGGGAGGTCATGTTTTCCTTGGTCGCCATGGCAATGCTAAGGAAAGGAGAGAGTTAAATGGAAAAGTGGCAACACTAGCAAATGCTAAGAAATTCTGACTTCATTCTGGATTTATTTACACATATTTTCCAAGTAAAAGATGAAAATATCCTGTTTTCAATTTGTTTTGAGCTCTCCATTCATTTGCATGGACAAGGCGGGACTTATAAATGTTTACTGCAGCCAGCCACAAGGGGGCACCCCATTTATTTTGGCTTTATGTCCACTGTTTTGTGTCTAACCTATGTTGCTGCTGTTTACGCCATGAGTCAGACAGGTGAGCTTGATTTCTGAGAAACTGGACCTCCTCTTCCTCACGCTTTGAGTCTCAGCAACTCTCCAAGTGGGAAAGTGCCGCTGAGCAGTTTGCAGGAGAAGTTTCAGGCTCCATATTTGTCTCCTCTGGCATCTGTTATACCCGCTAATCAATAGATGACACCGAGCCCACTTTTAAAATGCTGCACTGATACATTATTGTTGGGGAGAACCCAAAGGTCCATGAGCTTCTTTTATTCCATTCTCCAAAATGCTGTTGATGTTTTTAAGCTGACTATGATGAACAAGTTGTGGGTGTTTCTTTGGCATGAAAGTACTGCTTTCTATCATGGTTCTGAAAGTAACCCTAATCCTTCAGAAAACAAATGTTGTATTAGATATTCAATTTGAAGAACCGCCTCCTGATTTTAAACTTTATGAGTGTGTGGGCGCAGGTGAGGACGCAGCCTCTCCTGTGTCTAGAGACTGCCGAGGGAAAACACCGCAGTCTTGGCCTGGAGCTGTGTTTTTGGGATCATGTTCTCCTCAGTCAGGAGGAAAGACTTTGTTGACTCAGGCTTTTTGTGTCTGTGTTAAACAGCTCATGAAAATCAGAGCTGGGAGATAAGGAGACACTGAACACCGTCAGATGACACTGGAGATTTTCACATTATGTGAGATTTGGACGAATTTAAAAGTAAGAATCTCACAAACTATTTAGGAGAATTTGTATGGAAGCCCTGCTTCAACAACAAAACCCATCAATCAGGCTGCTGTTTACCCCGGCTTTCCACGGGAGCCGTCAGCAGCACGTTACTGCAGCAGCACGTCATAGCTGCTGATAGGAACCGCTGTGGTCAACAGAACCTTTTCCACTGGAGCCGTCAGCAGCCGTCAGCAGCGCGAGTCGGCCGCGTCTCAGGAGCAGCATGTCGCGGCCTTTACGCGCCGGTTCTATTTCCTACGCGCGACGCCTCTGAAACGGGTCAAGTTCGACATTTTTGGGGAAGGAAAGACAGGAAATCGGACGCGGAAATGGAGAGAAGCTCCCGAGATTTTCAGAATAAAGAACGTACTGCCTTCCGGTCGCTTTACTTTAAAAAAGGTTACTAACTGTGCGGCCCCGTGAGAAGTTATCACCTAGCTAGCGGTCTCCTTTGTTTTTCAGGTCCGTATTGGCGATTATAAAACGGACAGAACATAAAAACACAAATATTTTGGAGTCATGTTGTAGTTTTCTCCTGCTTGTTGTTGTGTTTACTGACGAAGTCACTCGTGTGACTTCGTGCTCTGTCGGTGACAGTTGCTCCCCTGCTGATTCGCGTCTCGTGGGAAGGGCCAAGCAGCAGCTTACGCGAGCAAGACGTGCTGCTGCATTAACATGCTGCTGACGGCTCCCGTGGAAACCCGGGGTTAAGCAGCTCGCTCAAGAAACGTTTACGTGATGAAGTGACTGAAAATGAAGGAAAATCGGCAACATAACGGCAATGTTTTATGGAAATGGGGCCGAGGGATTGCAGTAGATGGATGATGGTATCAATCAGTGGTCCAGGGTTTTTTTAAGAGACAGCATCATCAGTTTTATGTGCTGATAATATTTTGTGACCAAAGGCAGACACAAGGCCCAAACGTTTAGCTGAATCATCACAATGATTTCCACAGAGACAATCATTAAATGTCAAAACCATTATGGTATGTTATCCAAGTTTTTAGATTAACAGACAAAAAAACCACATTAATCGCATGTTCAGATACACAATCATAACCTGTTTGTGTTTGAGAAAGATCTTACCTTATTGTGTCGTCCATCAGTCGGTCTGAGCTACAGATCAAAAACAGGATCAGAAAGAAGGATGCTGATTAGATACTGACGAGTGCAACAGTTTTTAGAAAGTTTTACACACACCATAAACTCTAGAGGTGTGTACTGGTAAGAATCTGGTGATACGATATCTATCACAATACAAGGAAGATGATAGAACAAATAGCTATACAAAATCCGGATTGAGTTTAATTGGAAAAGCCAGATGCTTCAGACACCTTTAGTATTATGACAAGATTTCGTAGTTACATCAGAAAAAAGGCGGTAAAAACAGCTGCCAACTAAAATAATCAAATATCAATTCAGTATCATTAACATGAAATATCGTGATATTTAGGTGTACAGAATTTTTCTTACATCCCTAATACACACATTACAATCGCACACCGATGTCTCATTAGCCTCGCTTTTAGATCATCAGTAATCAACAGAAAGTTCACAGATTAGAAACTGGCGCAGCACAAAATCAAAATTCATTCACGTGGCCAGGTGTGCGACAAAATATTTTTTTTACTATGATTGGGCCTGTCATCCACACAAACGTGAAGATACTGTATATGGTACCAAAAATGAGGATTTCAAAAACCAAACTGGATATTTGCAGCATTTGCTTATGGACACAAATAACCTTGGTTTACGGATTCATAATGTCATCACTATTGGCGGTTTTAAACGGGGGCCCACAGGGGCCCGGGCCCCTACAGAACCGGCCCTGGCCCCTGTGCTGAAGAGATCAGATTTTTTTTTTCCGGAGCTGCCTCGGAGACGGGAACTAATGCCCTGCAGCGTTTCACACAGAGCCTTAAGAGTGCAGCACTCTTTGGACAGAACTGTTTACTCTGTGGATTTTTGAATAAAAGATGAAAAATAGTTTAAATGGAACCCGTAGAAATTCTTGAGGATGACTAATGGAAAAGACGCTAAGAGACAAAGGTAAAAAAGCTCTGACGTCACATGTTCAACCTGTGTTTACACTATTTAAACATGACTATAGGTTCCTACTAGGGCTGGGCGATATGACGATTTTAGACCGTTTTACGATCTACACATCTGACGGTCTGTCATTTTTGAGAGACCGTTTTATCACGATTCACAGCTCTGCTGTTGAATTTCTGCCTCTGAATGAAAAGGGAACTTACCTCAGGCGAATGACACGCCTTTGTTTGACCCTTAACCAATCAGAGTGAGTCATAGTAATATATTAGTGCCCCGCTTGTTTTCACTTGTGTGTGAACAAACAAGGCTTCGCCGCGGCTGAGCGACACGTTCCGAAGAGGAACGCTGGGTTTCCTTAGCGCACGGCGCTAACAACTTAGCGACGTGACATGTCTCGGAGAAAGCGTAAAAACACGTTGGACGCTTCTTCTGAAGCAGGAAAATAACACCGCTTCTTAAGCAGAGCACGACGTCGCCTCGGCTCGTCCACCCTCTGCCGAGCCGGTGTCGGTACCGGACTGAGCTCGGTCACTGGGTCGCTGGAGCTGCCCAGTGACTGCCTGATGGAAAACCAGCGGGTTTCATCAGACTCGTAAAGTTTCTTGCTTTTGTTAGGGACCTCTGTATTTTACCGCTCCCTCCTGCAGTCTTCCCCTTTTACAATTTAAAATGATTCTGTAAACTCCGTGTATCAATAGAAACAATCTCTGCCAGCTGCAGTAAATGTAGTCTCCAAATAATAAGAGGTGCATTCATCTGTGTGTCTCCTTTGATCTGCATTAGTGATATTCTCAGCACCAGAACAGGGAAGCAAAGAAAGATTCCTGAGTTTGTTAGTAATTTTATTTATTAGGTGCATCTAACCTGTTCTATTTTTCTCTGAAATGAGATCAAATCAGTGCTTCTATGGGTTGTCTCCAATCTGCACTGGAAAATTTTACTTTATTTAGAGACTTGTTGCAGAAAATATTCAGAATGCGCAGTTATTTGCTACCACAAGCGATCTCTGGTCCAGCCGCGCATCAGAGCCGTATTTGAGCTTAACTATCCACTACATGAGCAACTGGGAGCTACATAGTATTTTGAACAAGTTAATGTTTGCACAATATGTTTGCAATTGACATGTTTGCACTTTAAATATGTTTACGATTTTAATTCATGTTAAGTTACTTGAAAAACGAGAAAAACTGATTTTTGTAATTGTTTCTCTCGGGGCTTTTATCATCTCTGGTGTGAGTTTAAAATATAAGTGTGTTAGCACTGTGTTGATTATCCCTAATATGAATAAATGTTTATTTATTCAATGTTTCTCTTCTTTAATACGCAATTGAAGTTATGCTATTCATGGATAAAAAAATCGTGATAAAATCGAAATCGTGATAAAATATTGGAAAAATCGTGATATTCTATTTTTGCCATATCGCCCAGCCCTAGTTCCTACCCTCTTCTGTTTTACATATCATCTTTCAAACTTTACGATTAGAAAAAGCACGAATGCATTTATAATAACAAGCAGCTATACTTGCTTTGGGATCCTAATTAGAACAAAAATATTGAAGGTAGCTATGCTGGATGAGACTTCTTGGGTCTTTACTGACTTTTATGATGATTTGTATCTTAGTTAGCATTATTGATTTAAAAAGGGCCCTGATGTTTGTACCAATACTAACATCATATTAAAGTTTACATAACATTTTAAATGCCATGTCATGGCTAAAGCTGGCACAATAGGCAGATAATTTATTCTCCCTTTTCAGCACACAGTTTTAGTCTGGTTCTGTCAGCATTATATTAAAAACAAAACTAAAAAGTTAACACCTACTTCTGCCCAAAAATGGCACTAATTCATTTTAATTTGTTTTCAATTTTTATTTTAAAGTAATTTTCTTTACATTTGAGGACATTGAGTGTAAATAAATAGACTATGGACTCTTTCTGGTCCTCAGATTGTATTTTATCTATGTATGGTGGTTTAATTTTAGCTGTGCTACAGGTCTGCTGGTATATCTTTGTATATGACTTTGAATTACCATTAGAAAAAAAAGTGTTTTAGCATTTAAGTAATGTTTTTGTTTGAAAAGTAATTTTTCAATAGGGAAAAATAGGATCCTTTACAGGACATAATGCAACAGAGGATGATCTGAAGAGAAAACTCATGCACTTAAACACTTAAGTGAGTTGGTTTTTACGGAAATAAGATCGCGAGATCCTGAAGTCCACATCTAATGGGTACGGCTGATTGCTACCATCACATGTATCCATATGGAAACTTCTGTGGTTTCAGCTCTTAGTGGCTTCCTTCCATTTGCCTCACCAGTTGTGTTTTTGCTGCAATCATTAAATCGCTCATTAGCTTCCTGCTAATTGCCCTTCCCAGTGTGATGAATGAACCACCCACCCTAACCACATGCTTTCTTCTCTTCTTCCATTCACAAGTAACGGTGTGTGGAGTCAGCTAATCTGCTTAAAGCCGTTTTTTATTTGAACAAACATCAGGTTAAAAAATCATTATGACTTTATTGATATAACTGAAACGTGGCACGACCACAAAGATCAGGAGGGACACATCGTGGCTGCTTCAACATGTTAACAATATTCGGACATGTCTTCACATCATAGCCTTTCAAAATTTTAATTTCCCAGCACCTACTGGTTTTTTTTTTTACGTGATTAAGTTTGGAAAACATTTGTCAACAATTTTTGTTTTTGTCACATGGATAAAAGTAAACTATATCTAACGCATTAAAACTTAATTTTTTTATTTCAAATCATCTTGAGCCACCTGTACTAAAATGACCCTTTACAGGGTGAATAAATAAAACTCCCCTCCTCTCCTTGTGGATAAATTTGGATAAATTGGCCATTTGCAACTTGAGCCTTAAAGGTTCGCTGCCCTGAAGTCTTTTTCTGTATCTCACAAAAAAAACGTAACGTTTAACACCAATCCATGTTTACACCTCAGAACAGACAAGCTAGAGATGGTTGGCATCAACTGTATGATGTGCATCATGGCGGAGCTTTTGAAGAAAGATAACTTTTATCCAATGAAACAAAAAATAGTAAAAGAACTGCTGACCCTAACAGTCTCACTCAAGGTCTGATGAAGGAACCTGGCGGCTGCATTCCTCACTGTCTACTTGAAGCTCCTACAGGACTTTACAGTTATAAGCTACAATAATCATATGTGTTGAATTAACAAGATGTTTAAATCAAATGTTTAAATATTCTGTGCTTAAACCAATGTTGGCTTTAAAATGAGCATTGCTCTTACAATGATCCCTTTCAGATCTTATGATCAGTATGTGTTTGATTTAACAACATAGTCATTATCTACACAATTATACACATTACAATAAGATACTCATTAAGGTTAATATTCACCTCACATGAGAGTTTTAAAGATTCTCATTCACAAAGTGTTAAAACATCTTTGTATCTGTAGACGGCGTGGCTTTCTGAGGAATGCTTGTTAAAGTGCTTAAAACGTGGCAAATTCTGATTTGCCAAACTTGGCCAAAACTCATAACAATGTGGTTTACTAAAACAAGAATCACTTCCCGATTAATTCAGTTTCTAGCTGACACTCAAACTGGCCAATTTGGGAACAAGGATTTTTGAAACCATCCTCTCCTTTGACCTCCAGTCAAAGCCTCTGCAACGCTGCGGCTGACACCAGACAAATGGCTCTTTTCAGAGACAAGCAAACAGCAGCCTTAGACGTAATAAGCATTCCAGTTTCCTGCCTTTTCCTGAAGGATCTCAGACTAGACGACTCCTATCAGAGATATCTACAGGTTCCTGATATCAGAGGTTCACTCCACCGGCAGTGACCACCGACTCCCTGGATCACACGAGAACCTCCACACAAAGGGTGCGTAGACTTGGCACAGATTGCGTCGGATGGTTTTTAAATAAACAAATCTGTAGTTTACTCAATAAACAGCCAATACACTTTTACAACCCCGACTTCAACTTTTCTCTCAGACACAAAAGAATGGTTTTGCTAAGACATCTAGCTTCCATTACAACATTTCACACATCACTTTAAATCACCTCATATCCATTACACCACATCTCATTATTCATATCTTGTCATGTATAATTACTAGTTTAGGAAAAATAATTAAATTCATTTTATAAACTATATCCCTGACTGTCTGAATTAATACGAAGTGTGTTTATGGTCCCTAAAAAAAGCAAAGAACACTAGAATCTTCTGATTAAACATTCAAAGATCAATCAGGTTGATATTTCATATTTATATGGAATCATCACATCTTATTGGTGACAATTCAATTCACTACAATTCAAATTCTGTCTGATTTCAGCTAAAATTTGCTTTATTTTGCAATCCAGTCTCTCACCCAAAGATCAAGATGTAGATTGCAAAACTGTTCATATGTACTTTTATCTTTGCATTTTTTAAAATATACTAAAAAGAGAGGTCAGACTGGTAAGCACTAAATAATCTAGATATATGGTAAATAAGCCATTCAATGAAGTTGGAGACTACAACTTCACTTTATTTACATTTAAATTTGCTCCATGTCACACTGACGCACCTGCTCTGCCAAATAAAATAAAAGAACACGACACAGGAAGTGCTCATCAGAGTGGCATCAACCCTTAGAGCTGCTCTAGTATGAACTTTTAATGGAGCGGCTCCTCCATTGCCTCTAGTTTATTCATGAAGACTAACAATGCAGAAATGGTAAAAACGAAGAAACATCTGAGAAAGACGGCAGCTCTGATAGCTAAACAGGACCAAGTTAGACTTTAAAACGATCACTTGTGAACGAGGTTCTATTCTAAATCGAAGCACGTCACCTACCGGAGATATTTGCAGATTAAGTGCAGGACAAGCATTTATGTTTTGGGTGATAATTTACCACATCCACTGGTGCCGGGACAGAAATTTTAATTCAAAGACACAAATTCATTAATAAATTCTAGAAAAATCTTGGAACTGTAAAGAAAACAAAACCTGATCAGATTTCTCGAATCTTCTTTCTTTCAAGCTATTTTTACTGATTATGGTGATAAAAAGTTGAAACAAAACACAATAATTCTTGACCTATTTTTTACCTTTCCATCTCCGCTAGCAGTTGGGAGAAAACCAACCAAAATGACTTAAAGATTTTATTTCTCATTTGTAAATAACTCGACAGGGTAATCACGTCATTTGTAGTTTATTCGTAGTTTATGTGAGTCGGTAAGCTTTGAGTCCTGCTGACATTCAATTTTCCTCTCCACACAGGGTGCATCTCACACCTCATGCACGCGCACGCACGCACACACACGCACACACACACACACACACACACCAGGACTTACCAACCAACAAGCTGCTCCACTTCAAACTGAGCCAAATGATTTAAACTAGTAAAGTTCATGAGACTTTCTGCATCACAATGAAAGAGACTTCTTTTCAAAGCTTTGAGATGCAAAGAAATGACGTAATGGGAAATCTGTTGTAATATAATAAAAATATAACATAACATTTAAAAGGCAGTACCAGAAAAGTAAGTAAATATCATAAATATTACAAAAAGAAACACACTTACTTCTAATATGGTTGAAAGGAAAAGCACAAGTGCTATAAATGATGCCAAGACTCAGTGATGTGATTTTTGTTTCATTTCACATCACCAACCACATGGTCTGGAATTTATTCTACCAATAACATCTGGGGTTGAATCAACTAATAAAAATCTGCTAAATTAATCCAAAATAAATTCCTTTGTAAATGACAAAAAAAAAACATACTTTCTCAGATGCTCGTGCTCCTTTAGAAACAGCTCTGTTCTTCTGTTGTTGACCCCAGAACCACTTTTATACGACCTGAAATGACAAAAATAAAAATGACTCTTTAAATAAACTCAATCTTTGGGGTTTGTGTCATGAGACAGAATAAATACACCTATCTAATAACAGTGATACTTGTACTAGTTAAACATAATCAGGGTAAAGAGCACTCTACAGGCTACTCCTGTTACTTTTAACAACAACAGCTTTAATTCTTTACAGTCGAGATGTGGACAGGCTTCAGTGGTTCACACAAACTAGCTGAGGATTATTTATCTGCTCCACTGACAGGAAGTACTAAATTAGCTGCTGGGCTTTAGCGAGTGTGTGTCAGTAACACTGCGCTATGCCACTGACTCAGGGAAAACTGTGACAGACACATTCAATAGTTACAGCATGTTTTAATGCTTTACTAATCTGTCATACGTTCAGGTTTAGTTGAATAAACCCAAACAATCTCAGACTCACGAAGCAGAAATGATAAAACAGTTTCTCCTCCAACAGAGCTTTATGGGGCCGGGCTAATAAACAAATGCATCACATCCATTATCTTCTGCCTGACGCTACTAGATACGAGCATTTCTAAACACGACTCAATCCCGTGGGTTTCTTCTCCTTTAACACAGCCCCACCTTCTTGTTTGCAGAGTGAGATAATGAGAGAGAGAACTAAGTGCACATGTATGCCATCAACATGCTACCCCACCCAGTCTACAGCAACAATACAACCATGAACAGTTCACGAATACCATAAACAAACAAGTATGGTACAAAGCCTTGGTTTTGGACCATCTACCCCAGCAGAAGGGTGAGTGGGAAGAGCTGAAATGCTGTTGAAAAGGGCACCGATGTAAATCACAGCCTAATTGTCATTTTAGTGGCTGACATTTAGAATCAGAGCGGCACAACGAGAGTTACACTCTGCTGCTGTGATGATGAATGGTCCAGCTGCACACAGGAGGAGTGTCCGTGTGACCAAGTATGGATCTGACAGCATCCGTTCAGCCTCTGGTCAGACAAGGCTCATTTTGTGTGTGTGTGTGTGTGTGTGTGTGTGTGTGTGTGTGTGTGTGTGTGTGTGTGTGTGTGTGTGTGTGTGTGTGTGTGTGTGTGTGCGTGCGTGCGTGCGTGCGTGTGCGTGCGTGCGTGCGTGCGTGCGCGCGCGCTATGATTTATTTCAAGATCAGGGTGAATATTTGTGTGTGTGCAGCATTAGACCCGGATAGATTATGGCCCTGATCTCCACTGCCCTCTGGCGGCCAAAAGGAGAACAGCCATTGCAAATAAGGTGAACTCAGCGATCACCAGGCAGGAGGCAGGGGACACCCTGGACAGATCAATAGTCCATCACCAAGCCCCACAGAGACAAATCACCAGCCACACACTCACTAACACCTATTTTAGTTGCCAGTTAACCTAACATCCGTGTTTTTGGTTTGTGCCGGCATGCAGCTCCGTCACAGGATCAGTTCCAAGAAAAACCTAAACTAAAATTCTAATTCAAAAATACTTAATTAATTAAAAATGGTTATTTTTAGTCCTGATATGCATAACTCGGGCTTCAATAATCATGAAACTATATGGTTCTCATGTTCTTATGGTGCTAAGACTGGAAAATAAAACAGGGCTTTTTTGATTCTTTGTTTTTCACAATTTTGTTCTCTTTATGGCAAGATTATATAATTTCATTGAAGCGGGGGTTAAATGAGAAATATCGGAGTTTCACATTCAGGGTGAATGTGAAAATAGGGGTTTCTAGCCACATTTCCTGCATTACCTACTGAAAGAAAACAGACGGGGAAACGCTGGGTTAGAAAATCCACACAGATCTACGTCACACTATGACTCACAAATATTGGCTCATAACAGGGAAGACTGTGTTTAGGAGAGAGCAGAGCGCGTCTCAGCTAGTAAAAGCTAACCGTTACCACACATCGGAACTGCTTAAGGCTTCTGCTACTTGTGGAGGTAAAACATCAACTTTGCATTTTTACCCAAGAAAGAAAAGTGAACGGAGGCAGTGGAAGAGTTGCATTGCTGCTAGCCAATCAGAGAAAATATGTTTGCATATCATGAATATCAATGAGTAAGATGCTAAATTGTTCCATTTTCTGCCCCCTACTCGTCTGACCAACTTATACTTCCTGCAATAGGAGCAAAAGAGCTTTTTGTACTGAAAATAACTCACAAGATCCTCATTTATACTAGAAGCCACAGTAGATTTATGGAGATAACGAGTGTGTGACAACTTTAAAGATCAATAAAAACAAAGTAAGCTATCAGGCGAGAACAAAGTTGGTTCTTTATGTATATTTAGAAGCTGAAAAGCAGCTCATGGCTTTTCTAAAACTTCCAGGTGTAAAAAATATAAAACCAGTTGCTACTTTGATTTAACTGGAAGCCATTTCCCACCTGAAACTGCTTTATGATGGGAAAGCTTTCAATCAAAGCTCTGTTTTCTTAAAATGTTGCATAAAATTACATGAAAGTTTGAGTGTTTTCTAAAAATCTGAAAGAGTAAACTGGTCTCCAAACTTAGGTCAGACGACTACACTTTTAACGTTTCACCTGCAAAACTAATGAAAACATAGCACATCTTTGTCATGAGGTCTGAGCCCTTCTCAGGAACACAACATTTAAATAAACTAAATCATGACAAACACTTTGAGTATATCAATAAGTGGCTAATAGAGTATGGCAGAAGTGTGCCAGTACGAGGCCTCTGCCCCAGATGGATGGAGAGGATCAATGGGAATCCTGCAGCGCTCACTGTACGCCCACTGCTGCATCTTAACAAATCAATACGTCATTACATGAAAAGAAAAACCCTCAGGAGTCGTGATCCCATTTTACATTCACTCACAGCTGAGCTGATCTGAAGACACTTTCTCAATGAAGAGACAAGGAGGTCAGAAATCTTCAAACCGCTTCAAACAAAACATTTCTCAAGTGAGACAAAACTTGAACGTTCTTCTAAAGACTTGGGTCTGAAACGTCTCAACTCCTTCAAAATGATTTAACAGTTCTTAAATTTAGCACTCGTTAACAACAAAAGAAAGGCTTCACAGGACAATAACGAATGTTGAGTGGATACTCACTCGATGTCTTTCCTGACAGAACCTAGAAGATCTTCCCTTTCTCGGATGGCCAGAAAGTTGCCTTTGGTTTTGTGAAACTCGTGCGTGTAATCCTGAACGGAAACAGGAATAAACAACAAGGAAACACCAAGTAATCAAAACTACCAAAAAGACGAACAAGAAGCAGAAAGGATTGTGATGAATGACGGTGAAACCTGCAGAATGTCTCGGTGTCTCTGGAGGGTGTGCATCAGCGCAGCGTTGAGAGAAGCTGTTCCCGGGGTGTTTGTGTACTCGGCCATCTTGTCGTTTACCACCGTCAGCTGAAGGAGATGTTGGAGATGAGTGGATGGAACAAGAAGAATTAAGGCATCAGAACCAATAAAACCAATAAAAACTTACACTAAATCTGAACACAAATAGCTATAAAAAGGCTAAATATCCAAATTATGGGCCATTCCCATGTGTACCGGGTCGGCCCGGGCCGGGTAGCGTAGGTTGTTTACATATCAGGGTGGCCTGGTATTTCTCCGGGCCAACCAAGGCTCATTCTCAGCCCTCTTCTCGAGGGGGTCTGCTTCAGGCCGACCAGGGCCAACACACCCACTGCTGACAGCAAATTCACACCTTCCATTAGAGCAAGCCTCTGATTGGTGGGTAGAATCAGCCCACATGGGCTTAAGACGAATCAACCGGGCCAGGCTGGGGCCGACTGGGGCTACCCGGCCCAGGCCGACCCGGTACAGAAGGGAATGGCCCATTATAGAACATTGCTTCAATCTGTGGCCAATATTACTTCTTTTTGTAACTTTACTTGCAATAAAGTCTATTTCATTAGAACATAAATTTCCATACAAGATCACTTTTTGGCTTCTGCAACACCAGACTGGAATATTTCTGACAAAGTGGTCCATGCAAATCAGCTCACTTATCAATGTCAGGATATCTGGATCTTCCTCACCCTTCATGAAGAGAACAGCCTACCTTGGCCAGCAGCTGCTCGATCTCCACAGACATGGTGTCGAACATCCTGTCCTGGCTGGAGTTGTTTAGTAGCGGGGTGGTGTCTGAACTTTAGATGGAAATACGAGAAAGTCATCTTAAAGATGTTCATCTCACTTTAAAGGTAAAAGTGTGAATAACAAAACACATAGATGACAAGTGACATTTAAAAACACTGCAGAAAACTGGAATTATTTTTCCCAGCATGGACTCAATCCAGCAGCATTCCATGTCCTAGATGACTGACAGGCTTTGGCAAATCATAAAATTAATTAGGGTTTATTTTATGTTTGCTTTGATTTGATTTATACTGCAATTGGATTGAGAACTCTCCTTGTACAGAAAATAAATTTCTTCAAAAGACAAGAAAAATCCAGTCACTGTTTTTTGAAAAATACTCTTAAAATTATCTTAAACTGAAAAAACTGGGAACAAACTATGTTGATGTAATGCAGCAAAGATTTTACTGAATTTACAGAAGAGCTGCATCAAACATTTACATACTATTATCCAAAACACTTTCTGCATCACATCTATGTCATCACAATAATTATTTTAAAGATTATAAAAGATTATGAGATCATTTTGAAAATAGTTGATTTATACTTGTTCTTTTGGTCGTTTGAAATAAGTAGCTTAATTACCCGTTTCCTGTCTTGGTCACGTATTGATCAGAACTTTTTCCCATTTCCAAACACTTTAACTTGCTAGGAACAAAATATCTAGGCTGTGTTGCAACTACAGCTATATAACACAGTTAAACCATTTAAAAAATATTTATTTAAGAAGTAGAGAGATATTTCTGTTCCTCTTATTCACAAACTACCTCAAATATTATCGCCAGGATGTGGCTGAATAGTATTTTAGATGGGGCAGAAATTAACTGTGCACGATCATAACATTTCAAGATCCTGGCTCTGGTCTATAGGGCCTTACATGGACAAGCACCATCTTACATTGGTGATCTTCTTAGTCCCTACACCCCCAGCAGGTCCCTGAGGTCCAGTGATCAGACTACTGGTTGTGCAGCACACCAGGCTAAAGACCAAAGGTGACAGATCATTTGCTGCTGTGGCCCCCAGACTCTGGAACTCTCTCCCCCTGAGCCTGAGATCAGTGGACTCAGTGGTCTCCTTTAAACTCACCTGTTCAGGCTGGCTTTTGTGTGATCTTCATCACCACCCTCTCCTTGTTCTGCTCTTTCTACCAATTCCACCTTTCCTGGGATCCACTGATTTCCTCTTTTTTATATGGTAAATGGTAAATTATACATTTTCTCTTTCCCTTTCCTTACATTTTTAAATGACAATTATTTATTTTTCTCATTTTTATGACTTTTTTTTTTTTGCTTAATTTTTGTTCTTGTGAAACTACTCGTGATTTTTATCAAGAGAGACCCGATATAAAAGATCATTTTCTTTCTTTCTTCTTTCAAGAAGCAACTGAAAACAAGACATTAAGGAAGACATGTGTCTTGGTCAGCAGTTTTTGATAAATTTGGAAATTATTTTGTTAATAAAAGCCCAGCATTACAACTTTTGACTACTGTGATGATTATTTTAGCAAATCAAAAACATCTGGATGTTCGGTTTCTGGTATTCAATCAAATTAAAAAGTAGATAAACTCTTTATAGTCAGAGCTATATATTCATTTTAAAAAATAGCCCTGACTACCTCTAAATGTTGGATGAATACAACCCTATCCCTTAAGCCAAACATTTCCATCTGTGATTGTCTTAGTGTTTCATAAGTATGTATAAAAAACTTTGCTAACCAAACTTAAGAAACCAATTTGTTCTACCCCTAAATTACAAGAATGAAATTATAGAAATATCATCTGGCTCCTAATTGGAAACTACTTCATTTTGTCTATTGATGAAAATAAGTAACAAAAGTGTGTCTTTACTATAAACTATAAGGAACTAGAGACAGCTTAACTGAATTCAAGTTGTCATTGCATTACATCTAGTAGTAAGAATGGAAGCAGGTGTTTATTTTCAGGTGTGATCGTGATTAATCTTACGTTTCTCCTCGACGTCCATCCCTGGAGCTGCTGTAGCTGGTGCAAAGTTTACTGAAGGAGACCAGTTTCAGGTCCAGCTCATTCTCCAGCTGCCTTGCCTGTTTTCTCAAGTCTGCAACAAAAATTTCATGATTAGTGGTTCAAGTTTTACAGTTTTGATAGCGAGACATGGGAAGAAAGGTTTATGCCATTTATTTGTAGCTCTTCATATTATCTAGTTAAATGGAAAATACTTATTTATATATATACATATAAAAATGTGTGTGTGTGTGTGTGTGTGTTTATTATTGGTATTATTATTGAAGTTCTCCACATTTAGTTGATGGTTGTAGCCCCTTGTTGTTTTCATTTCTGATGTAAAAACTTTCATATAAAACACAACTGAAGCAACGTCTGACGTTTTAAGCTAAATATAAAGCTAAACCGGGAGAACAGCCTAAACCTATCTGCTCAATGGCATCCAGCGAAGGTAGGCTTGATGTTAAGGGCTGATAAGTCTATCAAAGGAACGAGGCGGATTTAACAGCTTAAGGAGCAACACCAACTTCTGAGTAACATGACGATGTGTTAGCTTGTTGGTGGGAGCGGGCTGTTGGTCTAGGGGTCACGTACAAACAATAAAACTACACAAAGACGGCCACAAGTTCCCTCTCACGTTATGTGAACGGCACAAGTGGGTACTGCGTTTAATAACAGCTGGAAACTGAATAATAATATTCGCTCCTTACCCTCCCAGTAAGTGCTGCTTCCTATTCCTGCCATCTTTGTTGTTCTGCGACGTCAGCCTCAATTTTAGGTCACGTGACGTAAGGAGACGCACGATATAGGGCTTTTGTCGCCCTCGGTTGAGACTGCAAGGTACGGCAGGCTCTTTCATTCCATGCGTTGCTCAAAGTTACGAAGTTAGTTAGATCAAATCAGCTCATTGTTTATTCTGTAAAAATTTAAATTATGTCCAGATAAAATAATTTTAGAGTGCAATGCAACCCTTTGATGAAAACTCTTGTGTGTCTTTTATATATCTCAATCTGTTTGTTGCAGTTGTTAACAGCATTATTTTCTTGCCATGCTAGAAAAATAAATAAATAAATGGTTTTGTTCTTAAATACAAAATGTTGTCATGAAAGTTTTTGTTTGTTTTGTGGTTTTATTAAAAAACATTGGTAAAATTGTAAAATTTTTCATTTTTTCTAAATCTCAACACAGATAAATGACCCTCTTTTCTCAGTTTCTGACATCAAAAGTTACATTCCAAGAGCACAATTAAATTTCCAAGTAAACTGTTTGCAATGGACCGGTTAAAACTTAATACATAAATACTGTCATTTTAAAAACGAGGTCATTTTAAATCACGATGGAAAAGTGAAGAACAAACAGGTGGTTAGTAAGGTCAAAATTAAAAATAGATTATCTTTTGTCTTTTTAATGTTTGGTTTCTGCATGTACAGCTTACAATCTTCTTCCTGTTCTCGGAAAGGATGTACCCTTTTTTCTCTTTCTCCTCTTTGCCTGCCAGACTCGTCCTCCAGGAGCAGTCTGGCAGTCCAGGCCACTCCTGGACTGCAACATGCAACTGAAGGGTGGAAGTGCGAGTATTGGGATTGGTCCTTCTTCTATGCTGAATATAATGCAATGTAACTCTTTGCTACATTACAATAAACAGGTTTGGGACAATTGGTTTTGTTTGCAGTACTCACAAACAAAAGTGATTAAAAACAAGTGGTGCTCAGAGATGTTTTTATTTCCATGTTTTGGGAGTTTTTGTGCATGTTAGCCTGGTCTCAGTACCACCAAGATGCTTCTAAATGTATGTGAAGTCAACATAAGGTGCACATCCCACAGACATTTCAATTTGCAAACAATATTTAGTTAATTCCAATTTATTTTATAAAATCGTCACATCAACACAGCGTGACGCTTTCCTAAGTCTTTACACAAGGCCTTTCAGACATGATAGAAGAGTAACTTACATTTGTATTCCTTGCCAAGAAACGATCTCTTGAGAAAAATAAAGGGGAATTATGAAGAGAACAAGTGTATTGCTTTGAATCCATGCAGGTCACATAACAATTTAGAGAACCAGTGCAGCGATCTAATAGCAGTCAGAAGAATAAACCAGTTTGATGTGTTGGGTCTTTCAACTGATTTGGTTTTAGATGTTTCAGAATAAAAATCTGTCTTATTTTGAGTACAGGATCACCAAAATAAAATATATTTTTTTTCTTTTAATGGTCACATTTCCCACTAAGATGACAGCACAGATACAATCTTAGCATATAAATAAGCTTCAAAGGGACCGAACTTCTCTTAAATAAACACACAAGTAATGAAAAAATTCATATGATAAAGTCTAAATTAACAAGTTTGAAAAATATTACCTCTTGAGGTTGTGCAGAAAGGGTGGCTTTGACAGAGTCCTTGAAACAAAACAATTAACACACTAGTAATGACATTTACAACTAAAATAACCAGTTGAAAGGGAATATAATTGGCAGAAGAGAAAGTCCCAAACCTCAAAGTGTCAGAATAAAGATATGTCTACAGTCACACAAAAAGGGCACAACACATGTGACATTCGTGGATAACAGCAATAACCGTCCATGTACATACAGAAACTTACTATAAACAAAGCTTTAAAACAAACTGGGAATAATAAATACAGTATTTTCATGACAGAGCGTTGTACATTTCTTATCACCAGTGATGAACGGATGGTTTCAACTTACTGCAAACATACAAAATTTCCTTTCCGTGCTGAATCAGTGTCACATCAGAATTTAGCTTTCCTTGGGACACAATTTCATATTTTACATAACCTGAGTAAAGGACAGATCCAATTTCAGCATTAACTAACCCAGCCACAAAGCTTTGTCTCTTCTCACAGCCTGACTGGAACCATGGCGTTTTACAGAAGCAAAAAGGCACAGTGTGTTCAATTCAAGCCCACAAACAGACCTTTCACGAGAACTCCTCCATACTGGACCAAGAAATGAGAACCATTTATAAGCTCTCAGCTTCAGGCAGTATTGGAAACAATGCATGGTAATGGCAACTATCGAGGAGAGATTCCAGGAGATAAAGCGCTTCTATTTTCCACTAATTGAACTACTGAGTTCATTGGGACTGCGAGGACAAATAATGGTCTGATCATCTTGAACGGCTCTGAAACAAAACAAAAAGCTGCAGTAAAGGTTGATCAGGGCTGTTTTTGACCTCAGAGTGCTGCATACATGAACCCCTTAACCTAAAGGATTCTTAGTTTTAGCAGCACTGAAAGGACGGGGCTGAGCCCTTTAAACTTTATGGCATGATAGAAAAAACACTTTAAAGCTGCTCATTCTTGGGTCCATTCAGCTCCATGCTGGTCAGGGACTTGACTGTGGTGGGAGCTGAAAAACATAAAAATACTGCTGCTGTGCATTTCTCAGATCTTGTTGGCATACAGAGTCTCTTCTTCACTTTCACTTTCGTCCTGAAACTCATTAGCGAGCAGCAATTTCTTGGAGCCCATGGTGTTGAGTCGGATCTCGTCATCATAAATGTCGCGATGCTGTCGCAGGCGGTGAAAGCCGTCTTTCTGACTGTTGGACTTGGCTGCACACACGCACCAGATGATGCATGCCGTCATCACCAACGCCGTCATGGAGGCAGCTGCAGAGCAGAAATGAAGAACACAATTCAGCGCACACGCACATCCTTTACACGAAGGATTCAAGGACAAATAGCTCCTACTCGGGTCTTTAGCTGCAATCGAACAAACCACATCTTCAAAAGCAGCCGTTTGTTTTCATAAACAAGCTGTGTAATTATTTTTGTTACTTCTAGATTCTCCATAGAAATGCTTACCTGCACTGGCCACAACAAACTCTCTAGGCAAGCCAAAAATATTGTTATCCAAGTCAAACTCGATGACGACAGAGTTAGCAGCTTTGTAAGGAGACACCACCACCTAGAAAATAAAAAAAAACACACAAATGTACATTTTAAATGTTTGTAACATCCAGACTTATGCAGGTGTCCCATCACAGCCAGATTTCTGACAGAAACACTCCAGTTAAATAAAAAATATAATTATTTGTACTTATTTTGAATCTGAGCTAAAAGCTGCAGCCACCAGTTATTTTCCAGATTTCCACAGACAGAAGTGGTGCATTAGGATCAGACAATGAGGTCATTAAACAATTATGTTTTTTAGATCGATTTTACAAGACTTTTATTAGTTTTAACGCATTCAAACATCCAAACTCTTCCCAAGGCTGATTGTCTATGAAAGTGGGGTAAAAGCTTTGTGTTTAAAGGCTTTTGGAGACATGGTTGGTAATTAAGGTAATTAGCAAATCACATCTGCAGGTGTGTCTACTTAGTATAATCTGCTGCAGGTAGCCTGCTGTCTAAAATGTGCTGGTGCAATACAATCCCATAATATCCATCTAAGAGGTAAATTGCAAGAATCTTAAAATGCAATTTTACTTTTGTTTACCTTCTTTTTGGTATTTATCTAAGCAGTAAATTTGAATGAATGAGTTTTAATCTGACGGCTGATACTTGTTTTTGTAATTTGGTTTTAATTTAAACAGAGAAATCTGTTTTCAAGTGACACGTCTTTCCTTTTTCTCTGTTTTTAGAAAGTGGTTTTCCTCCCTGTTAAGAGCAGAAATCCATAAAAACAAATGTCACTTATTTTCCAGACACATAAGATGCGTTCTTATGAGCTCAGACAAAGTATTCGATGTCCTAAAAAGTATGGGGAAACTATCAAGGAGAGGAAATTCATGCCTGCTCCAACAAACGATTTGGAACTTATGCTTGAGCGGGACCCTCAGAAACCCCTGGAGGAAAGGTTCATAAGGAATGCTGCCGTTCTTCCAGATCTCTCAAATTTGCCGCTCAGCACTGAAGGCGCCAGCATCGAGGAGAAGCCCTCCAGCGCTGCTCTGATGATCCACGGTTATCCGGTACCGGACTACCAGGACACCTACCACTCAGTGGTGGACCCGCTGCTCCACACACCCTGCGGGAAGCTTGTGCCTTACAGTCTGGAGCTCGGTTTCACCATCAAGGAGCGACTGTTTGAGGAGGTGGCCTACCCAACCCTGAACATTTCAGAGCGTCCTGATAGAAAGGTGGAGGTGACGGAGAGATTTTGTGTGCTTCGGCCCACACCGCACATACACGTCGACTGTAAAGGGGAACCGTGGTAGCTTATTTCTTAAAGACTCCTTTATTTGTCCATTAAACATTGTTTTTGACAGTTTGAGTTTCCCTGACCTCTAAATGTAAACAGATAAATAAATTATTGAACAAAATTAGTAAAACGTGAAGCGTTTTACGGGTTAGAATCAAGTTCATCTGAGAACACTGACAGAGAATTACAGATACTGTCTAAAGTTGATTGTGTTGAACACTGAAGAGGAGCCAGTTGAGGTGGCTCGGACATCTAGTCAGGATGCCTCCTGGATGCCTTCCTGGTGAGATTTTCTGGGCATGTCCAGCTGGGAGGAGACCCAAGGAAGGGGTGCTGGAGGGACCATGTTTCTCGGCTGGCCAGCGAACGCCTCAGAGTTCCCCCGGAGGAGCTGGCCCAAATGGCTGGGGAGAGGGAAGTCTGGGACTCTCTGCTTAGGCTGTTTACCCCGCGACCAGACCCAGATAAGCGGTAGAGGATGGATGGAGGGGACTGAAGCAATATCTCCTCAACTACTAAACTTTTCAGCCTTATTATTTTAAGTTTTACACCATAAATGTAATCCTTTAAGCTCCATCGAGTAACATTTAAATAGATCTTTTGAATAGCAGTCTGAAAAAAATTTAAAATGATGATCTACCTTCAACAACGGCTCACCTTACGACGCTGCTGCTGATATCCATCAGCAATGACTTCTATATTGTAGCTACCGGGGGCAAGGAGCACATGGAAGTAGCCACCCTCGGAGGTGAACACCTTCATCCTTCTATTCAGTACGATGCTCGCACCAACGACTGGTTTACCGCTTCTGTCCCTCACCACGCCTCGAACCCCCTTATGGACCTGGATGGAATTAAAAGGAAGAGAAAAGCTTTTACTACTTTTACAGCAATGAATAGCAACATAACCAAAGACAATTACACTCTACTTGACATTTAAAGATCATTTTCAGTCAGGTTAAAGTACACGTCTTCAACAACTTAGGTTTTCTTAAGAAGACTGAGCGTTGGTAGAGGAGGCAGCAAATGTCAGCTAGGTGGCTACTCTGGGAACACAGCTGGAGTAGGACGACTACAGTTGAACTTATTTTTTGGAGGACATTAATGCAAAAGTTTGAAAACAACAGACCAAGAACCATCACCTTAAAAGGAAGAAAACTATTGGTCACCAACTAAGCCTGCGCCCAGACTAGAACAGGCATAACTAGACCCTAAAACGCAGACACAGCATTAAAATGAGATGAACTCCTACCTCTACCAACATGCTGAGAAGACTCTTCTTGTTCTCTGACCAAAGTGAGACCAGCTGATCGACGGGGGGGAACAGACAGCAGCCTGTATACACTGTGATCTCTGGACAGTGTCCCGAGTCCATACTGAAGTCCTGGAAAGACATGTGGACAAAAACACCAGAAGATGATTGCTGACAAGGGTTAGTTTGTTACTTCTCGCTTCATTAAAAGCTCAGATTACTGACAGTAATTAAGTCTCATCTCACTGGTTTAGTTAAAATATTTTACATATCAGGTCACATAAAGAACATGACATCTAAAACAGCTGTAAGATTGTTGGGCTAAATCTCTCAAGTTACATAATTTTCTATTAGACTTATTTCAGTTTGATTAAACGTGTTAAAAATTCAAGCAACACGACTAAGATGCTGCTTCATAGCCTAGGGAGGTACTGACCTTGGTTTCAGGCCCTTTCCTAAACTATTATTACCAGCTCTTACCTTCATGCTCCCCATGTGACTTTGTTTCTCCGCTGCTCTAATAACTCCACCAGGTATGTTGCCCGCTGAAAATCAGACGAGTCAGCAGTTAGTCACTATAACGATGACAGATGTAACGAGCACTGCTGACAGTCGGTTGTCATACATTGGCCATTGTTGGAACATCCAGTATCCCCGAGATGCATCTTTGGGTGGTTCTTAGCATACACGCTTGCCAAGTACTTCAACGTGCCCTCGTTTTCAACTGCAAATAATATTAATAAAAATTATTATAGAAATGCACAACTTAGAGATGTGTATAAAAAAACGATACTAAATATATTTAATTAAACATAATTAGTGAACAAGATCATCAGGAGTCAGTGTATCCATAAAGTATTCACCGCTCATCACCAGGCCTAATGAAGCATGGTGGTGGCAGCAAGTGGTACACTAGCTTATATATATATATATATATATATATATATATATATATATATATATATATATATATATATATATATATATATATATATATATATATATGTATATATAATTTGCACTAAACAAAAAAAAAATTAAAACAACAACATTGTTTACATTGTCATTATGGGGTGTTGTGTGTCAAATTTAAAACGAATGAAAGTCCACTTTTGAAATAGGCTAGAACATAAGTAAATGTGGATAAGGTGATGAACTGTGAATACATTCCAGATGTGCTCTGGGGTCTCATTTATCAAACATTGCGTAGAATCCTTACTAAAACCGCTCAGCAAATAAAATGTACTTACGCCAAGTAGGTTTGTGATCTATCAAACATGGAGTACGCACAGCTGCACGCAATCTCCGCTTCATAAATCGGAGACTAACGAGAATGTTTCTCAGCTGCATTTTAGTCACATCCCGCCCTCACCACGCCCACTTACTGCCATAAATAGTCAATGCAAAGTGCCTTGTGGATCTCATGCATATACATAAGCCGGCTGTTGCAGCGCTCCACCAATGACATGGCGACCGTAGATCAAGGTAGATCAAGGAAGCGCTATTTCACAGAAGCAGAAGTTGAGGTACTTGTGGGTGAGGTGGAGAAATGAAAGGAAGTGCTTTTGCAGATCAAATAAGAGAAAATCCACGGAGTGGCACAGCGTTGCTGAAGCCGTCAATGTTGTGGATTCTTCAGAGACATCTGTGGCAGATATAAAAAACATGGTCCAATCGGGATTCGATCCCAAGACTTCCAGGTGAAAGTCACGCACGCTAACCAGTCAGCTAAACAGAGATCTCCCTTGTCCAAGTAGCCAGGGCGCATCATCAATCGGGTTACAGCAACAGGACACACACACTGTCACAGACGCATGACATTCTGTCTCAATCTGTCCCCCTGCTGATATTCTGCATTCCGTATTCTGCGCTTCAGGCTGTGTGTGTGCGCGCGCGCGCGCGCGCGTGCGTGTGTGTGTAAGCCAGGTCCTTAGTCAACTTAAAGTTGCGCACATTTTTCCGCTAAGTTTTCTTTCATGGTTTATGGTAAATGGCCTGTATTTGATATAGCACCTTCTAGAGTCCTGGAACCCCCCAAGGTGCTTTACAACACAATCAGTCATTCACCCATTCACACACACATTCACACACTGGTGGGGATGATCTACGATGTAGCCAAAGCTGCCCTGGGGTGCACTGACAGAGGAAAGGCTGCCGAGCACTGGCACCACCGGTCCATCACCAGCAGGCAACGTGGGTTAAGTGTCTTGCCCAAGGACACAACAACAGCGATAGACTGAGCGGGGCTCGAACCTGCAACCTTCCAATTACGGGGTGAGCACTTAACTCCTGTGCCACCGTCATAAATCCCAAAGTTTGCGTGGGAAGTTGCTTAAGCAGTTTTCCGACCCCGTTTTGTGCGTAAGCAAGCTTGATAAATGAGGCCCCTGGGCTGTAAATAGCGATATGAAATTCATGATCATAAAAAGTATTATTGTATCTGCATGACGTAAATAATCATCGTTGGTCTGCACCATCCTAAATCATAGCATTACACCACCTACAGCCAATAATCCGACTAAATAAATTATCAAAAGTCCCTAAGATTACCGGTCTGAACAGGCTTGTTGTATGGGTAGGCGACGATCAGGGCACCTCCATCCAGAGCTACGGACAGAGTGAAAGTTCTGTTCAGGATAAAGTCCATCATCGCTTTGGTCTCAGGTTGGGGCTCGCTCGAACGCTGTGATGCGTTTCCTGGTAAAGTAGGAAAGAGGTGATGGAGAAAAGGTATAGAGTTTAAAGAAAAATGACAGTTTTACATAAACAAAGTGAATGAGTGTCATCTGTACGACTGACCCAAAAAGTTCCTGTCAAGATCAATGCCGTTGGCGTTGGTCAGACCCTGGGCAGACGAGCACTGCTGCTCACTGGCCTGTTCTCGCCCATCGGGGTTGACAGAGGGAACGATGAAAATGCGGGTCTCATTGATCAGCTGAAGGATTAAAACATTTTTTAATCACATTTACACAGTAAAACAGATTCATAGGCCTGACCTGATGGTCATTTACCATTTTATCTGGATTCTCACCTTAGTGATGGCATAGTTCTTGCCATAGTTGATGCACAGGAAGGTAGCGAACTCCAGCAGCAGCTCCGTGCCGACGGGAGCGTTGCCATGGATCCCTGCTACAAAGCGGATCTTTGGTTCAGATGGCTCTGCTTCTGCTGGTTTGTTGGATATCTCCAAAGCCAAAATGCTCCTGAACTCCACACTCCACCCCAAACTAGACACAAGAAAACAATAGAACAAGAAAACAGGTGACAAATACATCAATGTTTCAACACAGTAGCAGCAGGAACAGTGGAGAATTCTCCACAGCATCAACCTCATCTACTGTGCCTATTCTTAGATCCATGGGAGTATCGGATTTAAGGCTTCTCACCTGTGCAGTTTTGTGATTTGGGGAAAGTTGAGCTTTAGACTGTTCAGGATGTCGGACCACTCTTTAGGGCGTCGGTAGCGGATGCTGTTACCCGTGTCAGTGCTCTTCACCAGCTGTTCCAAACCCTGGTCTGAGGAGAGCTTCTTAATTAAACTCCCGAGCTCCTTCTCAGATGGGCTCTGTGTGGGTTGTGGGCTGCCAGGAAATTGGTTACTACTGCTCAAGTCTGATTGGGTCAGTCTGAAGTCCACCGTCTCCGCTCTGTCCTTTGTTACTGTGGCATAGGTCCTAACGGGTTTATACCTGAAGACAACAGGGAGATGAATCTGAATTTTAGCTACTTGCAGAATGAATTTGGCTTTCCCTTGTAGCACAGCGAACTTACCCGTGGGCGGAGGCAGTGATGGAGTAAGTCCCAGGTACCAGCAGCCTCCAGTAATCTCCAGCAGAAGCTGTAGTGATGCTGTGGTCTATTCCTTCCACACTAATGGTGGCATTAGAAATTCCTGCACCATCTCTACTGTCAGTAACAGTTCCTTTAACTCCAGTGTGAACCTACAGAAGAAACTGTAAATTAGAAGAAAACCTCCAGGAATCAAGTGTTGTTTTTAATTTTTAACTACCTGGTGAATAAACTCTAGCAATGCTCGCCCGTTTTGTTCCCAGTATTTAGGCAGATCCTTGGCCCAGGGGTATTTGACACAGCCCAGCTCGATTGTAACCTCAAAACAGTTAGTGTTGACGTAATTCCAGTCCTGCATGCCACCTGGAGGAATAAAAGATCCCTTTATCCCTCAATATTCTGTTTTATGCACCTTTTGTGGAAGATTCCTGGAGTTTCAGCTCTGATTTTTTAAATGTTTTTAAAGAAGAGCAAAAAGTAAAGCCATTGCAGAATTAAACGGCATTTTACTTATTGTCCAGCAGGGGTCAATATTCTGTGAAATAAAATAACAGGACTGCAGTGCTCACACGATTTAAACCTCAAAACCTTTTTCCAACGTTGAGGTTTCAGATCTATTTTTCATTAACACGATACAGAATGCATCCAACTCAGACAACTTCAACAGTGTCTCCAGCTTCCATCAACTGGTTCTGATCCCATTGATTTAAAATTATACAAGGCAAAGTGAAAATGTCATGGCTTCCAAACCGTCGCCCACACATCAGCAGGTGTCTTTACTTTAACACATCTGGCAGGATTGTGTGATGGTTTGAGTTTCTATGGAGGCACGAGAATGACATTATATAAGAGATGAGCAATCCTATGAAGAGGGTAAATTCCTGTGCGTTTACTTGAATACATTCTCACAGAATGCAGAGCCAGTGTTGTACTGTCAGCATTTAAATCAACGAGGCTATCAAATTAAGGCTAAATAAAACAAACACAATAAAACTGTAAAAACAATTTTTTCTAAATCGTGTAAAATGGCGAAATACAAGCAAGAAATGGGTGAGTAGCAAGGAGTAAAAGATGCAGGCCTACCAGGAACTGTGTACCACTTGGCACCATTAGTGATGCCATCCTTAAAATATTCCTCCGGGTACAGGTCCTCACAAGGGTGTCCGCTGTGCATTAGCGGATTTTCCTGTGTGCAAACCAAACAAGTGTCTTTGTAGTCACTTTGAAAACACAGACTCTCCAAAGATTAATCAAGAAACATATACAGGGTATCTGCAGGTTTAAGGGAGCCAAATTTAAGACTTTTAAGACCTTTTTTAAGGCCACTTTGACCAAATTTAAGCTATTTTTTTACATTTTATTTAAGCTATAATTTCCAGCTATTGCCTGAAACCGGTGTTAACCACGTCGCGAACGTGGGATTAGCCATCCAGTTACCATTAACCTTGCACTTCCCCATGGTGCAAGCTCCCACTAGCTTAAACAGCTAATGTGCTCATCTAAAAATAGCCCCCTTTCACAACCAACTGAATGTGTATGTACAGTTCCGTTTATGAAAATATGATACACATAAAATGCTGAACACTAACTAGAAATTCACGAAAATTTTATAGAAATAAAAATAATCTTGTTTATTGGGTCTTTGGTCATTTAAGACCTTTGGAAACTGTATTTAAGGATTATGTCATTTTTAAGGATTTTTAAGGCCTTAAATTTGGAAAAGCAAATTTAAGACTTTTTAAGACTTTTTAAGGACCCGCGGATACCCTGATATAAAACCCTGAAGCACCAGCCAGCAGTTTGCTCCTAAAAAAGATAAAAGTAACATCATTTCAGCCTGATGGGCAGCTGAGCCCAATCACCTGTGAGAAGGCTCTTGCCACCTGCTGAAACACTTGATCATCAGGAGACTTGCTGTAATGACTGACTCCCTCTTCATCATCATCAAAAGGGTAGTTGACCACCAAGGAACCTGTATTAAACAGAAACAAAGCAAAAAAAAAAAAAAAAAAAAAAAAAAAAACAGATCCTTCCTTAGTTACACACAAGTTAAACCATAGAACAAACTGTGGGTCTAAACATCCAAATATGAACCGAATCTGAAGGAACAGCATGCTGAAAGTGAGATCATACCTCCATGGAGGTTGGCAGACAAAACAAAGGGGATGCTCTTCACCCAGTTCATCACAGCTATAGTCTCTGGCTGTATGGGATCAGTGATGGTGACGAACTGGTCAGGAAAGTTGCGGTTCAAGTCATAATTGTTGCTGTTGTTTCGTCCTTTGTAGCCCCTCACGTCACCTACGAGGAAACAAACCCAGAGCATGAATCACCGATGGGCCTCCATTAACCAAAGCATGATTCTGCATAAAGAGTTCAATAACCTCCGCTCTACTCCTCTTACAACTTAAATCACTTAAATCACACACGAAAGAACTTCAGATTCTCAGCAAGTTTCCCGTTTCCTTACCTTCCATGGCCACCTCGTAGCCATCAGGGTTCATGGAGGGCATGATGTGAATGCGTGTGCTGTTGACCAGCTGAGTGACCTCTAGGTCAGTACCATAGTTACGACACAGATACTCGATCAGGTGGAGCAGCAACTCTCGACCCACCACTTCGTTGCCGTGCATGTTGGCCACATACTTGAACTCAGGCTCACCTGGCAGATGAAAACCACGACAGTTAACACCTGCCAAACTAATATTAAGAGGTGATGTTTACTAAGTATATTCTAGAACCACTTACCAAGCTCGTGAACAGTTGGGTTGTCTGAGATGACCATCACGTACAGCTCCCGATTTTCTTTAGAGCGGCCAATGGAGTGCAGGTGGGCGATGGAGGGGAACTCGCTGGCAAGGTTATGTAAGAAAACATCCATGTCTGCATAGCTGTGGTGACGAAATTCTTTAGGCTGGAAGGGCTGGTGCACAGGTGGAACAACGGGGGGGCTGTTCTTGTTTCCTGCAGGGGAAACCACCTGAGTCTGGGAAAAGTTGGAGGAGGGTGGAGTGGAAACTGTTGGAAGATTGGTGGTCGGCACTGAGGTTGTGGTCAAAGGGATGTCACCGGAGGCCTCGTCAACCTTAGGTGACAAGGTGAAGTTGAGCTGCGTGGCTTTGTCCTCAGTGACATGGACACCGTTGACGGTCACAGACATGTACCTGGAGGCAGACAGACAGGATCGGGAACTTCAACTGGGCTTCTAAACAAATAAGGAAGTTCAGAGATAAATTCCAGTTTGTTTTTTTATGCTTTACAAGGAAGTACAATATTGAACTTGCGCAAAGAGTTTTCTTCCCTGCAGAAAGATTTTCTTTTTTAATTCTTTGCAAGTCCCAAAACCCAAACTGCAGAAACCCTGCAGCGTGAAGGAGCTGTGGCGCTCACCCTGGGGCCGCAGCTGTGATGTTGTATGTTCCAGGGAGCAGCAGGCGGTGATAGTCTCCATATTTAGCGGTGGTCAGGTTGTGGCTAATGCCTGCTACCATAATGCTGACGTTGCTGAGGGCAGCTCCACTGACGGAATCATTCACAAAACCATGGACACCCATGTGCACCTGGAGATCAGGGTGTGTGTGAGGACAACAGATGTCTTACTGAAATGAAGGTGCTATTCTAAGAATAACAATCAAGCTTTGATGGTGGTATACAAGTAGACATGAATGCTCACCTTCTCCATGTAGGCTAGAAGAGATTCCCTGTTCAGATCCCATTCCTTTTGAAGCTGCTGAGCAGGAGGATACTTGCAACAGCTCAGCTCCAGGGTGATTTCCAGACAGTTTCCATGGAGGTAGTTGTAGTCCTGCATTCCTCCTGGAAAACAACGCCAGTCACGTGAACAAAAGGCTGCTGGAAACAGTACAAAGTAAGCAAGTAACTGTTTATAACGCAGAAGCACTTTCAAATTGGCCTCAAACTTCAGATGTTTTCTTCAGATGATCCTATTGATTCCAGACCAGTCCATTTACAGGGATAGATAAAGCTGAAGTTTGTCTTTGTCCCTTTAATACTTCTGGTAAGAGTGTTTTTAGCCAAGGCATCTGCAATTTACAAGTCAGCTACCCTTTCAATAAAGCAGACAGAAACACACACACACAGGTCAGGCTGGCCACCACGGTGGAACAACAGCTGCAGTCACAGGCTTCCTGGCTGGAGGGTTGCCATGACCGCAAGCCAAGCGGCCACAGAAACAAAATCAAACAGCCACAAGTTTACACTTGATCAACGGTCACCCTGAAAGAGCTCAAATACCAGACAGTGAAAAATGAGTTTAATAAGTGACGCACACACACACACACGCGCGCGCATGCACGGAAATGCTACATGTTGTGGTTTATTACACGATTTGAACTTAAAGAGCACAAATAACAAAAGAAATCTCCATGAACATTTACCAGATTCCACCTTCGTAGTAGAAACGACATAATATAACCTGAAAAAATTCAGTTTAGACGTTATTATCAACACTCGATGCTCCTCAGACACATTTCAGATCAGTTTTACTCTAAACATCCATCTGTTTATACTAGTTATAGGTTCTTCATTTCTGTTTTATCTCGTGTACTTAAAGACGGACAGAACAAAAATATATTCCAAAATCCAAACTAAACATTTTTGATGTAGAAAGTGACAGAAAAAAACTGCCTCTGAGCTAATTTCAGCTAAGGGTGTAGTGAAGATCTACCTTTGAGACTTTAAGCCCTGAGGTGACATCATAGATGGCAGGTTGCTGTGGCAACCAAACCGAGTATGGTCTTAGAAATAGCTCACCTGTAAGGCCTAAGAAAATAACCCTAATTGAAGCAAATCACGTAAGCAAACATCCTGCACCCTCACAGTTTGGCAAACAGGCTGACAGATTACTGAAGCATTAAATATCCTGTTTACTCCAGATGTGCAGACACACCCAGGACCGGCCAGGTGACGAAGCCAAAAGCTGAGCTAACAGCTAAACCAACAGCGTGTGTGGGTTTGCGTCAAGAATGAGTCTCAATTTAAAAAAAAATGTATTCAGTCAAACACCTACTGGAGAAAAGGTGGCCTCACTACATCACACTGTTAGATAATGGTCAGCTGTTCACAACAATGAGAGAAAAATCTAATTTCAGCAGCTTGAGCGTGTTTGGATTAAAGTGTTTCTATGACTGCAGTAACCCATTCTCCAGCTTTTATAACAAGTCACCCATTAAAATCGTTTGGAGTTTGAATCTGAAAAGGCAGGTAAACATTTACAGTTACACCAACACTGAGCTTATCGTGAAGTTTGCATGAGATCTGAGATCGGTGTGTCACACGAGATTACAGATTAAAACTAACAAAAACTTCTATTCCCATCCCGACTCCCGCTGCTGGCGCTTTGCCTAAAACTCTCATAACAGTTTCATCAGGAACATTTTACCTAGTCAGACCGATGCTTATCTTCAGTTTGACACAGAAATGTCCCTGCAGCCGGGCAGCTTTGGTGACGGATTTCTGGTTACATAAAACTCTGACAATCCACAAATAAAATGGGTTTTCCCAGTTTCTATAGGCGAAGGTGAAAATATGGTTCCTTTCTGGGCGTTATTCACAGCTTCAGTAACTCTGGAAGAAAGTGAATTATGTTGCATGTAACACTATATCAATGTGAACTGCAACATGAGCACATGTTACTTTCTTTACTAGTTTACCCATCACTACAACCAGTATGGTGGTGCTTTTATGGCACAGTATTATGGCGCGGTATGGGGGCCAAAATTAAGACTACTGCCCAGCAGCAGGAGGCTATATAAATTCCGAAGCAAACTACCGACCTGATTAATGATAAGCTGGTGCTGGTAAGTGAGAGGCTGGCGCTGCTTACCGGCGTTATTACTAGATACGCTAGGGACTAGCAGCCCTTGGCTGGTCATTGACTGGTTCAAACACTCCCTCTGCTGTCTATTAGCATGGATAGGCTAGCGTTAGCCTGGACGGGCTGGTGTTAGCATTGGAGAGGCTAGCCATTAGCGTGCCTAGGCTGGCCACTAGCTGGATTTCCTACCTCCTCGACGGACCATTAGCATGGATAGACTGGCATTAACATCGGAGAGGCTAGCCATTAGCATGTCTTGGAGAGTCACTAGTCAGCTAGTGGCCAGCCTAGGCACGCTAATGGCTAGCCTCGCCGATGCTAACGCCAGCCTATCCATGCTAATGGTCCATTAAGGGGGTAGGAAATCCAGCTAGTAGCCAGCCTAGGCACGCTAATGGCTAGCCTTTCCAATGCTAACACCAGCCTGTCCAGGCTAACGCTAGCCTATCCATGCTAAAAGACAGCAGAGGGAGTGTGTGAACCAGTCAATGACCAGCCGAGGGATGCTAGTCCCTAGCGTATCTAGTAATAACGCCGGTAAAGGTGCTATTCCTCAGTAAGCAGCGCCAGCCTCTCACTTACCGGCGCCAGCTTATCATTAATCAGGTCGGTAGTTTGCTTCAGAATTTATATAGCCTCCTGCTGCTGGGCAGTAGTCTTAATTTTGGCCCTCATACCGCTCCATAGTGCTTTACCATTAAATTGCTTGTGTTTAATGCTAAGAAAATGATCCTAAATGTTAGTTTAATGTTTGTTACAAACTCTCAATTTCATAGACTAAAAAACAAACATCATAAGAACCTCAAACTATTGATTAAATCCACCTGAAGACTTAAGAACGTCGAAGAGACGAGATCCAGTTTCATAAAGACAGCTCAATCTGGACAAGTCACTGTGTTAAACTGCTGACAGGCTAGTTGTATTACAACACAATAGATGTAGAGAGAAAATGTGTGTTGAAACCCGAAGCTGCAGACTTCGACGGCACCACCCCCAGCCCTGAGAGAAAACAACCAAACAAAAGGTAGAGAGGATATCCTTCAAGTTTCTAGCTTACGGCTCAGATAGGGCTGTCATCAGACCTCAGTTATACTAAAACAAGAGCAGGGAAGCATTCTGAATTTAGTTCAGCAGCTAAAAGAAACCGAGGTTTGTCATTTTGGAGGAGTCTCCTTGTAAACCAACCAAACGGCATATTCTCACTCAGAATGGGTAATTTAAATCAATCAAATTAATGATTTTTTGGGGCAAATCAATATCAAACATGATTTTGTGCCACACCTGGTAATGTCCTGCAACAACAAACTAAGCATTCCACCACTGGGAGGTAAATTAACCAAGTATGATCACCAGCTACGCGCCGTAGCTTATGCACACTTTTAGATGTTGTAACAAGTCAAACAATGAGAAACACTCTTAGCTTTCAGAAAAATTTCGATAACACACGTTAGATTATCTCCACGCTTGCAGGACTTGCACGCTGACAAGTGCTCATGAAACTTTGAAAATAAGTAAACACGATTCTCTCACCTGGTACATCGTACCACTGTGCCCCGTTTGTAATGCCGTCTTCAAAGGTTTCATGAGGGGTGTCGGGACAGTTGGGGTGACCGGTCTTCATCTCAGGGTGATTCTGGGAATACACCATAGCCAAAAAGCGAAACAGGTTGTCATCCTCAGACCGACTGTAGAAGCCTCCACGCATGTGAGAGGCAGAGTCATCAAAAGGGTAACTGGCGACCACCGTTCCACCGTGCAGGTTCCCCGACAGAACAAATCTATAGAGATAGTGGTCAGTTTTAGTGAATTAGTTTATGGTGTTAGCTGGAGAGAATGTTGCACAGCAGGTAAACAGTGCAACTTTCATTCCTTCTTTTCAGAGTTGACCTTTAATAATGTCTGTCTTCTGAACTGATACTAGATACATGAGAAACTGTAAATAATCATAACAGTGGTGGATGAAAATGCACATTTACACTTAATTTTGCAATTTCTCGCCATGCATTTGGATGGAAACTCTTCAAGAAAACGTTGTAATTTTATGAAAACGACCCATCTGATCCCAACAGCTGTTTTTAAAGTACACTGCAGTTACTTTTCAGCCACTTTTTATGTTTAGCTTTTGAATGATGTGGAGATTTCATGATAAATGAACCAGCTGTGGATGCAATTCAAACAGAACTTTGAAAAATGCTGATGAAAATCCATCTGAAGGTTTTTTCAGCTTCTTCATAAACCTTTGCAGTTTTTCAGAAGCTGAGTTGACGTTCAATCTAGAAAAAGATTTGTGGTCGGGCATCTCAGAGCCCTGCCTTCATCCTGAAACAGACGGACACCGGAATAACGGATAAATGTTTTTGTAAAACAATCTAACCTCCACCTGCTTCAATAGTGGCCGATGACTGTGTGCAAATATGGGCTTGATTTGTTGAGGCCTGTTTAAATAAACGTTAACCTGAATATATACTGCTTAGTCACCAAGCAAATGAATACTGGCAGTGATGTGAGCCTGCTAAGAAATGGAAAATTCCTCTTTTGCACCATGGTCCAGGTGTGTGTTTAAATGTGACAAAAGGGTACTAGCTGCCCTTTTAGGTTCCTGAAATACATCTAAAGTATTCTAGCTAAAAATTAGGGATGTCCCATTCCGATATCGAAAAACAGTGTATCCGATTATATTGGACAGTATCAAAATTCTCTGATATAAGCAGTTCTTTAAGGTTCACATTTTTGCAGCCAATGTTTAAAATTTTTCTTTTTTCACACTTATTGTTATTGGCTCTTGTTCTCTGATTGAGTAATAATCACATGATCAACTCTTTCATACATTCCACACTACAATAGGTAAAAGTATGTATGATTTGTGCTAATATTGAATCAGACAATATTATTATTATTTGTAATATTATTATTATTACAAATTTGATGCCCAACTGCCTTCTGTCCAGGAACTGTACATCAGCAGGACCAGGAAAAAGGCAGTGAATATTGTCCAAGATGCCACACATCCTGCATCTACTCTCTTCCATCTCCTCCCATCTGGCAGACGCTATAGATCACTGTACACAAAAACTACCAGACACAAGAACAGTTTCTTTCCTTCAGCCATTTCTCTCCTGAATCTGTAGATTATTTTACCTTCCTTTTATTACAGTTTTTAATACTTATTCAGTATGCTTATGGATATGTGTGTGTGTGTGTGTGTGTGTGTGTGTGTGTGTGTGTGTGTGTGTGTGTGTGTGTGTGGGTATGTATATATGTATATATGTGTGTGTGTGTGTGTAAATGAACATGTGTGTGGGTATACATGTTCTTATGTGTTTTTAGGTATTTTTATTCTCATTTATTGTGGTTGTTGTATGTTTTAGAGAGAGAACATCTAACGAAGACAAATTCCTTGTAAATGTACTTTTACTTGGCCAATAAATCTGAAATCTGACTGATATGTATCGGTCAATACTGAAGGCTGCAATATCGGTATTGTATCGGTGGTGAAAGAGTTGTATCAGGACATCCCTTCTGAAAATGTTTAGTTCTTGAAGTTTTGGGACTGCTTGCTTTGTCCAGCTTAAATCATTACTCACACATTGTAACTATGTCTCTAAATAGACTTTATTAGTAATACTCACTTGTTTTCCTGTATCCATCTGATCACTGCCGTGACCTCCGGTATGTCATTTGGATCAGCAGACGCTCCATCAAACTGGTCAGGAAAACTCCTGTTCAGGTCAACGCTCTTGGCATTATTTCGACCCCCGTGGACTCCTGCGCAGTCGCCCTCTTTGGATTTCTCGAAGCCGTCAGGGTTCATGCTGGGCATGATGTAAATATCCGTGCTGTTCACCAGCTCAGCAATCCGAGCTTCCTCCTCGTATTTAGTCAACAGGTGCTCCACAAGGTAAACCAGCACCTGTCTGGACACGGTTTCGTCACCGTGCATGTTCCCAACGTATTTAAATTTCGGTTTACCCGGTGTGTCTTTGTCTGGGTCCAGTGTGATCCGCATCACCCACAGCTCCCTGCCTTCCACAGACTTACCTATGCTCGACAGTCTCGCTATGTGCGGGTATTTATGCTCTAATGACTGTAGAAGTTCTGTTAATTCATAATAATTGTAGTACTTATTGTAAGTTTCTACCGTTTCTGCTTGCGAGGGTCCGGTGCCCCGTGGCCGGTGCTGCCTCGTTCCGCCAGAGACAAGAACAAGAGGAAGGAAAGCGAAAAGTAACACCCGCCGCTTCAACGACGGAAAAAAAGGCTCCCAAATGTGAACCATGTCGACTCGTTGTCTACTTTTACACCATCCGAACTTACGAAACGAAGGGCATAAAAGAAAGTGTGACTTTGGGCCCGCTTTTGCGACAACAGATGTTTTGTTTTTAGCTGTCGGAACAACTCTGGCCTGCTTGTTTCCTTTTACTTCCGTTCACCTCTGCGTGGGCGGAGCTTCAACGTGACGCCTAGATTTAACCCTTAAGGACCCGTAGTGACACTGGTTTCAGAACCCATTTCAAAAATCTGCTAAATTGCTTCTTGAGTCAAATATTCAAGTTTGAAAACCCAAAGTGACATATATATAGAGAAAATTATTTTACTTTTTATTGTATTTGATTTTTTTCTACATTTCGATGAATTTATTCTGTTTTCTGATTCAAAAGGATTGTTCCAATGCGTAAGGGTGGACCGGTGAATTAGGCACACAATTGACGGAACTTCACCGGTTAAAGTTAACGTTGAGTGGCAAAATTAAAACAGTGTGGGGCACTACAAAACGGATAAGTCATGGATTTGTTAGATCTTATGTCATGGAAACGGTCAAAAAATTAAAAACTTATAAGAGCTGGCAACATCTAAGCCACTGCATTCTTTAAAGGTGTGGTTCACTGAAACCCCATTTCTGATAATATACAGTCAGTTTTTTCATGCAGGCTAAACATGAAAATAGTCCCTTACACCTATCTCCTCCATTAGTTTCTGGTAGAAAATAGACGATGAAACTCTGGGATTTAAAAAGCCTGACAGATCTACATCACACTGTCACTTAACATTCATGGACTCACATGATGGGGAATACTATTGTTGTTTTAGCATGTGTCTTGGCGAAGCTAACTGTTAGCTATGATTTGAAAAGTCTGACCGCTCTACATCAAGCGGTATCTTTGACTCACCAGTCTTGACTCTCAACAGGGAATTGGCTGTTGTTGTTTTAGTGTCCAGTAGACGGCAGAGAAGTCTTGGCTGGTTAAAGCTAACTGTTAGCATTAGCAACTTCACCACATGGCAGAAGCTCTTCCAGGTGTTGTGATTTGAATTTGTATATTTATACACTGTAATTAGATAATTTAATTATCTGATTTTGTATATTTATACACTTTAATTAGGTCATCAGAAGTGGTTGTTTTTATCATCAGGGAGTTTACTTAAACACTCTGTATTGACTGAGAGACAAGAAAAGAGAGAGAGTTGGGATCGTTTAAGAATCTTTAATTTCTATAATTATAAATTCTTACAATCTACCAGGACTATCTCAATGATAAATGCATATGGATTTAGATGTTTCGTGTTGGTGTGTGTGTGTGTTTTGTTCAGAATCTCTAGGCTGAGTAGTGAATCTGGTTTGTTATGACTAGGCTACCACGAGGCTTCAGAAGCTGATGACATGAGCCACCATCTTGCCACGTACCGTCGATGGAGTCTCCCGTGTAGATCAGGAATTGCCAGGTTCTAAGACCTCGGTTGTACTGGAGCTGGTGAAACAGCGGTCGCAGCACTACAAAGCCCGTCTGAGGATGACTCCGGTAGTAGTCGACAGGCGTCAGCAAGTTCACTCTTATTTTGAAGGGACGTAGTCTCGTCGGTACAACGACGGAAATCTCCAGCTTGAACAGTTCTCAGCTTAAAACAGGAAGTACAGATGGCCAGCCTGTATTCCTCTTTGCGGTGATGGATTGAGAGCTGGTTGAAAACACTGTTGAGAGTATGATGTAACTCCTTGGAGCTCGGATCGAACAGAGCTGATGTCAACGAGGAACTCTTAACGTGGAACTGAATATAAAATGGCGTTGCCTTCTTTTTATATCTCCCAGTTGTTTATGAATCTTAGTAAACCGGATTGGACTACTTTCATAAACAAACCAGATTCTGCCCTACCACAGACGAAAGTTCTGATTGGTTGAAAACAATGTGTCATGCGTTTCCATGGTAATGCATATCAGTCTGTCTGGTGCAGCCCTGTTTATTCATTTAAACACATAACTCATGACATCTTTATTTCACAGATCATTCACCTGATTATTAATGATCAACAAATGCTTTGATTAGCTTATCACAAATAAAGTACTTTGATTAATCAATGAAAAGTGTTCTTCTTCTGTTCTTCTGGAATGTGTAGCATTAGGAAGTTTATAATGGTCTGCCCTTAACAGCTGCCCCTTCACACAGTAACATCGCCAAGGTCGGACGCTTGGTTCAGTATGTTTACATTCCAGATGTAGAGACAGAAGAACAGAAGAAGAACCTCAGATTTATTGGGTAAATTCTATAGATTAGTTTTCTCAGACATGAAATCCTTCATCTACAAGAAGAAAGTTTAGCTGATGAAGGTTTAATGGTACATCTTCTTTTTGAGAAGCTCTTGTGAACAATATCTGTATTTAGTCAGCCTAGTTCCATCACAACAAAAATCAACATTTTAAATGTGCAGTCATCAGTAAGACACAAAAGTTTGATCAATAAATGTTAAAATTAAACTTTTAGGCCAAGATAAAATTATATGTGGAAGAAAAAACATCAGCAACTGTAAATCTCAGTTTACGCCTTGATGTCAAGTATTACTGAATTCAAATATACTGAAGAAATCCTAGTTCCATATAAAACAGACGTGTGAATTGTTCTTTATTTATTAGGTTAAACATTATAAATCAATGTGAGAATGATTGACATCGGTGGTTTCAGACTACGGTTTTGTCATGAAATATTTCCTTGTTTAAAAGTTTGTCTTCAACTTTTAGTTTATTTCTTTATCAATAATCAATTTCCCTCTGGGATTAATAAAGTATTTTTGAAATGAATTGAATTGAATTATCGGGATAAAACAACTGATGAGAAATGACCGAGGAAATAGGAACGTTTAATTTTAAGATGTGTGTTTTATAAATGGAAGTTGTATAAAAAGAACGTAAATAGAGGTATTTCAGGTAATTTCAGATCATAAAATCTATATGTTCTCAAAAAAATGTTTGTGCAGCTTTCATCCTAACGTGTGTTTTCTTTCAAGGCACAATAAGGAGCACCATGCAGGTTAGCAGCAGACTCTTGAATTTGTGTTTATTTAAGTTGCCCCTTCTTTCTTTCTTTATTGCTGGTAGCACCATAGTTACCCACAAACATGCAAATCAATGACTGAGTGACAACACCACTCTGTTGCCACCTAGAGGCCTTTAAATTCGTCCACTTGCATCTGCAGGAGGCATCAGTCAAGAGCTTCTTGTCGGTTTCTCTCTCCTCAATTCTCTCCGATGCTTTTCTTCATTTTCTTTTGGCAACAAAACAAAACTTCTGTAAAAATCTTGATTCCAAAGCACCAGAGGATGCTGGAATGACAGGGTGAATGAAGGAAGATGAAGAGGAGGAGGCGGAGGAGGAGGTTGTAGAGGAGGTAATGAGTGAGCGGTTGGGAGAGGTGGCCGCAGGCCTCATTGCTGGATCCGACGCAGCGACTGCACCTGGAAGGACTGAGCATGGGAGCCCCACTCTCTGTAGTGTTTGTACTCGCCGCCGTGGCGATCACATTCCATTATGTACTGGTAACCACGGTAACCCGGAAACTGATAGCACACCCAACTGGAGGAGGAGGAGAGAAGAGGAATAATTACTGAGATGCGTACCAGAAGAAGAGAAATGTTGATCACAACAAAATGAATACAGAAAGCCACTTCGGAAGGTTTTTTGTTACAATCGAGGAAAATTAGTAAGATTTTGTGCAAAAATTGTCTGCACATAATTTGCAGAATATGTCTGTTTTGCACCTGTATCAACAGCTTGTTCATGATAATTTCAACCATCTTTACCGGTTTGCGTTTCATTGATTTGGATCCAGTTTCTGTTGCATTGACCAAAAATGTTAAACAAGTTCATTTATTATGTTATTGCATGAGATTTCACAAATCAGAAACCTGTCCTGGTTTGGTTCCATGTGTTCTGAGACTTACGCGCCGCCCTGAACTTGCATAGATCCGATCTCGTTGTTACCCCAGCCCATGGCCTGCAGTGAGGGGTAGTCGTCGTTTATCTCCCACTGGCTTCCCATGAAGTTCTCCTTCTCAAACAGCATCATCTTGGACTCCTTGTGGTTCTGTTTGCATGTAAGAAAGATTCATCAAGCACATACGTATTATCCTGTGGAAACTTTGATTAAAACAGCATTCAGTTAAAGACGTACCATTGCTGAAGGACATTAAGGTCCAATGATTTGCATGAGGCCTTGTTCTATTTTAAAGTCCCATTAGTCATCACACACTGGTGAAATTCATCTCCGCCTTTGACCCATCCCCGTGGGGAGCGGTGAGCTGCAGCAGTGGCTGTGCTCGGGAACTATTTGGAGGTTTAAGCCCCCAGTTCAACCCTTCAAAGCTGAGAGTCAAGCAGGGAGGCACTGGGTCCCATTTTGAAAGTCTTTGGTATGACCCGACCGGCATTTGAACCCCAATATCCCAGTCTCAGAGTGGACACTCATACCACTAGACCACTGAGAAGGTTTGAGCTCCAATAAGGATTCTTTGTCTCCAGTAAAGGTTTTGTGTGTCTGTGTGTGTTTTGTTATTGTGACAAATTAAACATTTCAAGTAGAAAATAAGACGTCAGACTAAAAGAAAGCCAGAAGCTGCTGGTCTGGAACAGAAACGCACAGCAGAGCAGATGGGGCGGAAGGACATCATCCTCTCGATGTGGTAAGCGTTGCTGCCGCTCCACGACTCCCAATGAGGATACTCTCCTCTCTCCAACACAAACTGCTGCCCACAAAAGCTGGAGTGCTCATATCCTGCCCAGCTGTCACCAACAAACACAAAGTTACACATCATAAATGGATCATTAGGACGTTCAGAAAGCACACTCCAAGATGCTTTTTTAAATGTACCCTCATAAAAACCTGTTAAATAATTTCTAAGTGACCTTTTGTTTTAGCTACTATAATGTAGTGGTTTTATGGTTGAAAGTTCCCTCCAGTGCTGTTTTCTTTCTGTAGAGATCTTTGAACTTACGCGCCACACTCCACCTTAAGTGAGCGGATGTTGTCAATGCTACACTCCATGACGTTCTGGCAGGCCGAGGTGAACTCCAGACGTTTTCCCTGGAAGTTTTCCTGGTCATAAACTGTGATCTGGAGAGGACAAACATGCATGAATGTGGCATGCACGAAACGCATGCACGTTATTATGCATGCACAGACGCACACACGTAACTGATCTCATCAGACCAGGTATGGAAATTAAAAAAAAAAGTTTTGTTTTGTTTTTCATTAATTTGTATGACATTTGTATGACAATGCATCAAATTTACCTTCCAAGGTCCCAGTGGGTTTGGATTATGCTGAGCCATGCTACCGGGTGTTTCAGAGTGGAATTACCTTCAGAGCAGAGGATTTCTGTGAGTGTTGATTGGGGGAAAAACACACATAAAAGTTTCTTTTTAAAGTTTTCCATGTTTTTTAAAAGCTGTTTGAAATAATCCAGCTCCTCTAAGTCTGCTTCATTCAGAACCATGACAAAGCTTCCTGTTGATGTAAGCAGAAGCCATATTTAATCTTGCTGTGCACAGTCACTGCCTGTATATGCATGTCTGCCTTCAGTCTATACATTCATATGACTCAGCAGAGTGACTAAAGAGAAAAGACACAAAAACATGTAAAGTAACAATGGTCTGTATATTGAGGATTGAGATATAGGGCTTACCTGACCGGCCCCAAAGAATAGCTGCTCGGTGCTCAAAGGGGCTCCACAAAAACCATGTTCTGACCCCCAAGTGAACGAACCTTTTTATACATGCTGGGGCTGAAAAGCAGCTTGGGCTGTGGGTTGGGGCAGGAGTCAGCACATTGCTGTTAGACACATTGTTTGGATCTGAGCTGCTGGGCTTTAGTGAGCTGCTGTGGGACTGGATGGAGGGCACCATGCCCAGTGCAAATAAGCAAAAGTTCTGAATGATCCCTGTCCAGCAGGCAGGGCCGAGTCCTGGAACAGCCCAGTGCAGGAAACAGATCATCATAGCTTGGGTACTAGTGCCAAAAATGTTTAAAAAGAGGACATTATAATGTTAAAAAAGGAATAAAAATGCACTTTTTACAAGATGAGATTCTGATTAAACACATTTGAGTAAAAACGAATAAAACATAACATGTTAAAGTTGTTTTTTTCCCAGTTGGCCCACTAAGTTGTCATGCTGCGCTCCTCTGAGCATCTCTGGTCCTTTCATCTCCTCACTCCCTTCCAAATGCTTGCTCAGTCATGCACTCACATGGTCATGGATAGAGCCACACACACACACACACACACACACACACACACACACACACACACACACACACACACACACACACACACACACACACACACACACACACACACATACACACACACACACACACACATACACACACACATCTGTTCATACAGTCACATGCACAACATGCAAAGAAACTGATGCACCCAAATGTATGTAGCCAATGGCGGCTGTTTGCTTTCCATAAAGCACAATACCAAACTGTGGGACTGCCCCAGGATCAGAGTTTACCACCATATATGCTCGCACATGATATTTGCCAAGGGTAATATTTTGCACAGATGTTCAATAGCACCTCTCAGATTTAAATGGAGGCTTTGCCTCTAAAGTACAACACCCCAGGGTTCCACATGGGTATCCGTTCCCCAGTAAGAACTTCAGTTTTGCCAGACTCCAGTCTGGAAACTCCAAATGGATCTGAGGGTGTTTGTGGTGCAAACACAGAAACATCTTATGTGGATCAAAAACATGGTGCACTGTTATAAAGCTCAGACCAGATTCAGGATTCTTGTAAACTCTGTTTGTTTGTTGGATTTCAGTCTTGAGCAGAACCTTGTTTTCTCAAGGAAACCAAAAGGATCATTGCTTCAGTCAGCCAGTCCTACGAGGTCACACCCTTATGCATGCAGGTAAAAAAGGGATCACGAAAACTAAAACGGCTTTTAAAAACTTTAACAAGTTTGTATTTTGTCTCATTTTAATATTTCCTCTGTTTTAACAACATGCAGCCGGTAACTTGCACACGTGCCATTAACGTGAAGTCGCTCACTGTAGAAGACGAGCGAGAGCCAATCTGAACAGAAGAACAGATGCTGCTCCTGCAGTCGGCACATTAAACAAGCAGGGCTCAAAAGCTCAGTCCAGCATCAATATGAAGGAAAGAAAAATGTAGGCAAAACACAAAAATAATCACTAGAAAACCCATGGAAATGACGGAAGACAAGAATACAAATTTGCATTTAGATAGGAAGAAAAACAGTGACAGTTTAAATATGTGTGTGTGTGTGTGTGTGTGGGGGGGGGGGGTATGGTGGAAATAATTTTCTGCTGATGGCAGTGACTGTTCTGAGTCCATCACAATAGAGCCGGACAACAAAACAGACAGCCGACTCAGCGCTGGTCACCCTTGACCTGACACTAGGCTCCCATCAGCTCACAGCCAATGAGAAGTCAGAGTCCAGCCTTTTTAGGCTCACTCAGGAGGTGAATGTATTTATATGTTCTGGCCCACGAGGACCGCGTCCATCAGTCTCTGCACACATCGGCCCTTTTCAGCCTTCAGGTACTGTAAGTGTTAAATCTGAGATCTTCTAACTGCTAGAAGGTTCCACCATATAGGTGAATTCTGTGGTTTACTCGTTTGTTGGACTAGAAAAAACAAGCAAGAACTTTACTTCGGACTAAAAAGATGAATTATTGGCAGAAAATGCAACAAGGAGTGATTCCACATTGACTGGATTTACTGAGATAACATTAATGATGACGTCCTTTCTCAAATCTTCTAGTTGCAAAAACACAAAGGCAGCTTTGCAGAGAACAGTTTTGTTTGGGTGTTGTTTAATGTCTGAACGCTTTTGACGAAACTTCCAGAAATGTAACGAGACATTTACAGAAGGACCAGAACCAGACCAGGTCATATTCAAGATATGTGTTATGATATGTCAGATTGTGTTATTTCTTCTCCTTCTACTATTGAGTTTATTCTCTACCAGAAGTCCTCCAAAGTTAAACGTTTAAACAGATCTTTTACATGATGAAGGGCCATAGGTGATCCTGACGTAGGTGTGCCAGTTCTCCCTGTTGACGAACTATTTAATGATTCTTCCTTGCAGATCTGATCATGTCTCACTCAGGCACCCAAGGCAGCATCGGCAGCCACCCTGCCACCGGGCTACGCAACCACAAGGTATTCAGTCAAACATCAGTGGAAAAAATAAGAATACAAACTTTTCACCTCAGTTATAAATTCTTTGAGTTGGTTTTCTACAGATATACCTCTATGAGTATGAGAATTTCCAAGGCCGTCGGATGGACCTGTTCGGGGAGTGCCGTAACCTGAGTGAGAAAGGTTTCAAGAGAATTGGCTCCATCAGAGTTGAGTGTGGACCGTAAGTCACCAAAGCAACCAGACATACTCAGAAATGAAACTTTGGATGTGTTTAACCAGGTTACGTCAACTGGTTCCACTAAGCCCTGTTGCTTAAATGTAAAGAGTAATATACATTTACTTTTAAGCAGAAATATGGAGTTTCTTCCTCAGAGGGCGCTATCTAGAGGCAGAAGAATGTATTGCACCTGAAGCCCCTCTTCCTACTTCCATGATTATGGCTGGAAGCAATGCCTTTTGTTTGTGAATGTGCACTTCTAGCTAGCCAACAGAGGTAAAAAGAAAAAAACATTATTTTACAATTTGTATTCTCACGATACACTATTTATTCACGTAAGATGATGTCTAACGCTATTGGCTAATTTAAATTACATTGGACCTTACTCAATGGGGGATGGGCTTAGCAAAAAAATGACATGTTGCCTACATTATATCACAGTGCAGAGTAAGAGTATTACTTTTACAGATTTCTAAAAATCATACGTAATTCCTGAAAAGGGAAAAACTCCAGATTGCTGACACAACAACGTAAAACACTGTTTATTACTCTTTCCATTTAAGCAGCAAGGTTTAGTGGAACCAGTTGACATAACTAAATAAATTAGTCAATTCAACAAGTAATTTCTTAGAGTGCATGTCTGTGACAGCACGTGCATTTATGGTGCTCAATTATGGTCCTCGAGGGCCACCATCCTGCATCTTTTATATGTTCCTATTGCCCAACAAACTGTATTTAAATAAAATGGTGTTTAACAGACTTCTGCAGAGGTTAAAGAGCAAGTCACCCCCTACAAGAAACTTACTCCACTCCCACTTCATGTTTGAAAAATACAACAAATGCCATTGCCTGGCAGACTGAGAGGGCATCGCCGTCAACAAATACACACAAACAGGCTCACAACAGCATTGTGACATCATAACGTGCCCGCTAACGTCATTGTGTACCTAATAGCCAATAGCGGTGGCAGATTTTAATTCAAATGTAGTGCAGAGTTTTTACCTGACGACACAGACAGTTTTAGGCAGAATATTAAAATTTTGACCAAAATGCACCAAAGTGCAAATCATTGACTAAACGTGTCTATGGCACGATTAGACACTCATTTATATCGTTTATCAGCAAAAAAAAAAGGTTGATTTGGGGGTGACTTGCTCTTTAAGGTCAGGCTGAAGAAGTAAATCATGCAGGATAGTGGTCCTCCAGGACCAGGATTGGACACTACGGATTGAAACGATTCACAAACAGCATCTCTCCTTCTGACTTTCCAGATGGGTGGGATATGAGCAGCAGAACATGACAGGTGAGATGTTCATGCTGGAGAAGGGAGAGTACCCCCGCTGGGACACCTGGTCCAACAGTTACAGGTGTGACTGCATGATGTCAGTCAGACCCGTCCGGATGGTATGTTGTCTTCAGAGACTTGGGTTTTATTCTTAAAAGTAAAAGTAAAAACTTGTTACTGTTGATCTGCCGTTTGCTTCTAGAATTTTATTCTAAAGCAGGAAATTGATTTCAGATCAGTGATCTTCAACAGTACACAACAATGGCTGTGTTGTTGTTCGGCTTCTATTATCTTGATTTGCAGTTTGCTGAAATTTTATCTAAAGTTTTCAGATGTAGAGCAACAACAACACTTTTTGTTATCTGCCAGAAAAACCAGCAGGAAGAGTGATGTGTCCCTTCTTTTAGGACCCCCAGGACCACAAGATTTGTCTGTATGAATGTATGAACTTTGAGGGTCGGAAGATGGAAGTGTGTGATGAAGATATTCCAAGCTTGTGGTCTTACGGCTTCCAGGATCGTGTCGGCAGCATTCAGGTCACCGGTGGAACGTAGGTGGTTCTTTGATGTTCCTTTTTATCTGGCTGGATGACTGTTTCTGTAAAGCAAATCTGATTTTCAAACTTAACCTCAAATCTTTGTAACTATTCACACAGCTGGGTGGGGTACCAGTACCCCGGCTACCGTGGCTACCAGTATGTGCTTGAAATGGGCTCCTACAAGCACTGGAATGAGTGGGGGTCCCACCACCCCCAAGTCCAGTCCATCCGCCGAGTGAGAGACATGCAGACGCACCGCCGAGGCTGCTTCGAGCTGACCTCATAGATGGAGGAAACAACAGAAGCTCAGAGAAATGTCACGCTGCTAAACATCCTCAGAAGCCACTCAAAAAGCCTCTTAGCTTTGATGGTCCTACACTCACTAAGAGATTAACAATCTGTGGGATTGTACATGACTGAATGGGATTAGAAATTCTTCAGTAATAACAATTTAAACAAGAACAATCATTAGTAATTGTGTATTAATTTGTTTCAGCTCTATTTTCAATCAAACCCTGTATTTCTCTCTATTTGAACTCATTTCTTTCATGTTTTTAGAAGAACTTATGCCAATAACACTTAATAAAAATAGTCCTCTACCATGGACAGCTCACGCCTGTCCTGCAGTCACAGTACAAAGCAGAGGGAGGAGCTATGTCCTCATCACACAGAAGCAGGCTTAATGACACCACACATTAGTCAGTGATTAAATGAGATTTAAAAGAGACCGTGGGGTTGGGATTTAATGAAGCAACAGTCTTTCTCAGCCCATTGATGGGGCTGTCCAGCAGTTTTGCATTTTACACTTTCTCAGGGATGCTGGCATCTGGGAAGCAACTTTCCAATGGAAACCAATTAAATAAAAAAATAACTTACCTGAATACTGGTCTTTTTTTTTTTTGTTCTGGTATTTTTTCTTTCATTTTGAAGTCATAGGTTTAACAAAGGCATGCACATATGTGAAATGATTAATTAAAAGGATAGAGTGATTTGTAATAATTAAAAATGATAAATTAACCCAGAATGCATGTTGCACATTTGTGATCATCATTTTGGGTTATTTTTAGATGATGTTTTATAACAGAAACTATGAAAAGGTGATGAATTTGCACAAAATATCATGTCGATTTGAACATTACTTCACAGTTGCTGATAAATGAATAATTTTTCATTTTACACTTTTCTTTTTTGTAGTTTTTGTATTTTTCTGTGAAACAGAACTAAGACCTTCAAAATAATAGTCATCTTTCAAATCTCACACTTATCAAAAGCTCAGTTGTTTCCATGCTAATACATTTCTACCTTTTTTAATTTTATTGACCACAAAATAACATGGTTTAATTCCTATATGTATTTAACATGAAGTGTTAAAAAGTTTTGCTACAAACCTGTGTGTGTAAAGCCTGATTTATAGTTCTCCATCAGCTCTACAAGTGAGAGACGCATGCATGGACAGAGACGTTTTGCCTTTTAGACTTCTCCGTCTCTTGAGTGTTGCAAAGCAATTCCCCTCCAGGACAACAGAGGGCGTAGCACTGTCCTGGGGTATCCTGTCATGCATCTGGTTTAAGATTGTGCATTTAATATTGTGTTTATATTGTGTTTTTTCTATTTAAGAGACTTTTTTACAAGGACAAATTTGTCACTCATCCTCCTTCACCTCTTCATGCACTCGTCACCCCTAAACCCACGTTTCTCATTACAAATAAAACACTTGCTGCGTATCTTTTCACTCCAGTCATGAGTGAATAAAACGTTCATATTTTTAGAGTTTTTCCGCGAGGTATTCTTTAGGCTGCTCTGTGTCCCGCTGCCGCTATATTCTCGGCTCACTTTACGTTTTTAAGGGGGCAATGGTGTCGCTGTAGACGACTGTGGCAGCCTGACCAATCACAAGCTTGCGTTCTCCGTCTCATCAGACGGATGTTTAGAAAAGAGAGCTCAACTCCATCTGTCCTTGTGAGGGCTCTCCAGCAGGCTCGCAAGGACGCATACTGGTGTTGCGTGCGTCCGTCCCGACGCAGATGGAGAAGAAGAAGAAGAAGAAGAAGAAGAAGAAGAAGAAGAAGAAGAAGAAGAAGAAGAAGAAGAAAAAGAAAATATCTTTTTCTATAGCGCCTCTCAAAATAAAAATCACGAGGCGCTTAAAAGTAGTATAAATTAGGCTTAAGACACCAGATTGGCTTCAATATTTTTCTTTATTATCAAAATGTACAATGTCATCAGTTTTATATTTAATACATTCATCATGAGCAGCAAAAACAACACTTCAGGTGCATGAATTCAGGCAGGAATTTCTTTGTCTTTCTGCATAAATATTTGTGTAACACTAAACTGACAGGGGTGTAAGGTAAAGTTTAAAAACTGATGTAAAATCCCGATGATTTGAACCATTTTTTGACAGGAGCAGAAGATTACTGCTGTCATGAAACTCAAATCAGAGGTTTTTATGAACTTCATTTTAAGATCCTTTACACTGCTGTCAAATCATCCAGCTTTATTCCAGAGAAAAATAAATGTCCACGTCATAAAACACTAAAGATAAAATGAAAAATAGAATGAGCATTAAGAATCTGTGATAAAAAATTGAATGCATTCCCGGTAACAAAGCAGATTGTTCCAATGTCTAAAAAGGCTCAAGTAATGGGTTTTTTGTTTTTTTGTTTGTTTTGTTTTGTTAGTTTTATTTTGTTTAATTTTGTTTTGTTTTGTTTTTGTGTTGGGGTGTTTTGGGTAAAAACGATGAGGAATGCCTGCTAAACCTGACATTGGAGTCACCAGGAAGTGCTACAGCATGTTGCTGATAGTGCTTGTAAATAACTGGAGAGTTTCATTTAAATAAATTTGTAAAGCTGTGCACAAACAGTAAAAACTATTTTGAGGAAAATCAGGAGGTTGGGACACTTTAAGGAAAGCAGAATAACTCAGACAAGTCCAACAGTCCTGTTAGGATGCGAGCTGTATTTCTCCAAACTGAGGCCGTTCAGGAAGCTAACAATGCGCAGAGAAAAATGGCATGGTAATAACACGATGAGTATATTATTATTATTATTATTATTATTATTATTATTATTATTATTATTATTATTATTATTATTATTATTAAATGAGCACTGTTAATTGTTTTCCTCTGGGATTAAATAAAGTATTTTTGAATTGAATTGAATTGAATTAATGGTGCCTCCTGGACTATTATATTTACAGCTTGTGACCGTATGTCTTTAGTAAAGTTCCAGCTGTGTTGTTTGGGCTGTGCCGTTTCACCAGATCAGGATCCAAAGATAACCTGGAAGAGGCAAACACATCTCCGAGGTGGGAAACCAGTCAAAGCCAAGTGGTGCATCAGCAGATAAAAAGGGAACAGACGGGCAGTCGTGCGCCATGCCTGCTTTAGAGCAGGATTTGGATTAAACAGCTTGTGAGAGGAAAGCAGGGAGGGAGGGAGCTGAGAGCTGACTTAATTTTTTTTCTCCAGCATCTAGAAGGGGGGTAGGCACCGAGAATGAGTTCTTCTTGAAGCAACACGGAGCTGGTTGTCTGCTTTGCTGCACGATGATTTAGCCAGCGCGCGCAACTAAACGCTCCAACGCATCCGTTTTTTACGACAGCATCACCCAAGAAAAAGCTTCAGTTCGTGGCTGGTCGCGCGCCGAGCTCCCGTCTTCTGCAGGACATGAAAGTGCAGCAAGGCTGCAACTCATCAGACATGGGGATTCCGGTGAAAACCGAGGAAGAGCTGCGTGGAAATACCGTAATAACACCTGAGGATGTGCTCGGGCTCCAGAAGATCACCGAGAGTGAGTAACCTGCTGTAATGGGGGGGGGGGGGGGGGGGGGGGGATTATCACAAGACCATTGCTACCATGGACAGCGACACAGCCTGAGACGATAAGAGTGTCTTCACAGCTTTAGTGTGCAAGCAGGTTCTTCTTGTTCATAAGCAGCTGGTTCATTATTTCAAATTTTCTGCAATTGATTTTGTTGATTTTACTTTTTATTACCTTTAAAAGCGTTTGTTCACTGACAGAATAAGGATAAACGAGCCCTGGAGACATGAAACAACTATGAAGAAAGTTGGCTCTTACCACTGCTTTACCTGAAGACACCTGCAGCTCTGACTTAACAGGTGTCCAGGGATGTGATCCTCTAATTATAGCTCAGTGGAACAAAAACAGGTTGAGTAACTATTACTGTGCTGTTCATCATATAAGAGAAAATGTGTTGACGCTACGTCAGCTGGACTCAGACAAAGTCTGACTCTTTCATTGAAACATTTTCTCTGTGGAGACGTGTGGACGTCAGACTTTTGTCTGAGTGCTGAGGGAAATGTTACACACTCAGGCTGAATTTAGCAATAAACACAGAGCATATTCCATATTTGTGGAGTTAGCTTGGAGCTCGCATCAACACCAAACATCTTAGAGAGATCATCTCTGGATTTAGTTTTTTTCATATTTACAGAAAATATTAACTTTACAGATCAACTTTTAGCGTTGTTGCTTTCATTTATTGCTTTCCTTTTAAAACAAGCACCGCTTACGCTGGAAGATGATTATAACCGTTTTGGAGACAAGGCCATCTTGCACAATAATGCAAGACCTTATCTGTTAGATCTCAGAGGACGCGTTGGGGATGGTATCAGACACTATCATGTGAAATAACAGCTCAATGTCCATGAAACTGATTAAAATTTCAACATCTCTATGTCCTCAGTGGCCACCTTGGATCGGTTGCAGACATCCTTTTAAAAGTTATTTTCTGAGACTTTTAATCAAATCCGTCCGATTATCAGACAGAAACAGAAACAAACATGCACATGCAGAGGCAAAAACATTATTACCTGCAGTTTTATCCACAACTCTGTGAGGAAATGTGAGCAAATCCTCACAAATGAAGCTGAAAGCTGTTAATGTAGCATTTTTTTTATAATTTTAATCAGCTGACCCTTTTAATCCAGAAGACTTTAATATTTAAGTTTGCAGGTTGCTTTAAGTGTTGCTAAACATGTGTTTATCCAGCTTATTCTTGTGTTTAATGACAACTGACAAAAATTCTAAAAACTGCTATATTGAGCGTCAGCTGCCCTGATCTCTAATAATCCGCCTCAGTATCAATGATAGTAAATCCCACATCAGGCAACTTCTCATCATGTAAACAAATAATTTACAAACGCAAACATGCTGTGTGTCAAAATAAAAAGAACAAAAACCACATTTCTTTAAATTAGGTTTACTTTTAATTTAATTCTGAATTGTTTGATTGTAAAAAGTCATTAAATCAAAATAAATGAACATGAGACGGTGGAAATAAGCTGCTTCATTGACGTTAATCTGTGTTAATAGAATAAAATTATAATTACAATTGGCATCTCCAACAAACAGGTCTCTACTTTTTATTTAGTAAACTTTAAGTTTAAGAGAAGCACAGAGCTTGCATCAGTGTGTTAAATCCTAAATCACTTATGATGGTGTACTAATCTCTGCTCTCCAGTGACATGTAATCTGGATTACGTCAGGATGGCTGTAACACTGCCTTCTGTAATGATTACACACAGGTAATAAATAACACTGGATTAAAATGATAATAGAACACCCGAAACCCAAAAATAGCAACAGTCTAAGATTGTTCCTGGTTGTTTTTATTCCACACCATGACAAATCCATGCTGTAATCCAGCAAGACTTCTCGGTTATTTCAGACACTGATGGAAGAGATTTTAAAATGTCAGAATTGCAAAAACAATCAGAGATTTTTGAGGGCACATTTCGCCATTCTGCTGTCACCCAGATTCACCCTGTCACACTTTGGTTCGATGTTCAGAAGTGGAGCAGGTAATCACAAAGGCAGCAACAGGAGAGAAATATAATCCAAGGATAAGAAAAGCACTCTGGGAACAGGAGCAATGAAAAATGATTATTTTTCAAATAAAGGCCTTAACACAAGTGTGGATCTCATAGAATTCTGAAACCTAACAGAAACAAAGGTCCAAACTGGTCAAAATTAAAGAACATTTCAAAAAACAACAAATAAATAAAGTTCTACCATTTTCCGAGCATTTGAAAAATGTCTTTTTGTTTTTGCTCCTTTGCTGTCCCCGATTTTCGTCCTCCATCATGTCTGTAGTGTGTATGAGTGCACTTGAACGCAGCATAAACACAGGAAATTGCTTTTGTCGATTTAAAACACACCTTTTCTGGATTGAAGAAGCTGGAAAATACACAGTATTCCTGCTGGATTCAGACTTAACTCAGACCCTCTGTTTGAAGATGTGGAAATGCAGCAGGATGATTGTGGTTTCAGGTCTTATACTGGGTGAAAAGGTACTTTTGGGAGCTACAGCGTGCATTTAAAGGTGATTCACACGGCAAATGGCCCAGTTCAATAAGAAAAAAACGAGAATGTGATGAGAAATAAGAAGGCTTGTCTAACACAGCTGGGCTATCTAATAAAAAAAGCTATTTGCTGTCAAACTAAGGGAAATAACTTGGCATATCCTGTGATGGAGTTTTGACATCCCTATATTGAAGCTGCTGTTCATACAGGAAGTACATGATTTATGCACAAAGTTAACTAGACAGTTTTAACTTTAATTTTAAGGTAAGGCGGCATTATTTACACACTATATTTCATACGCAGAGACAATTTGATGTGCTTTCCATTAGCAAGAATAGCATGAACATTAAAATCAATGTGAAAACTCAATTAAAATACACAAAAATTCTATTAAGTTTTAAGAATACAAAAAGACAAAGCTAAGGGTGAGCATCCAATGCAAAAGGTGCAGCATAAGAAACAGTCATTCAAGGGCTGATGAATACATGAAGGTTTTCAATTTTGATTTGTAGTTTGTAGAGTTGGGGCACATTTGGGGTGTGCAGCATGGGGAGCCTAAGTCTCCTGCCTTTCCGGTCGGCTCATGGGTCCCCAGAAGAACAAAAAAATGAATGCAACATATGTTGCACTTCAATTTAAATGAAAAGTAATGATGTGTGTTTCAACCACAACTGTCACGTAGTTTGAGATTTATCAGCTTGTAAAAGTTCGTAATTAGCATGACTACAAATCAGACATCAGTACGTCACACAAGGACGTCTCCACAGAATCTCCTCTGCCCTAGCACAGCTGCTACTTACCGCCAGAAAAACATATATATCTGGCCCCGTGACACTGAGTGATTTATAAACTAGTAGAAGTACTTTGAGTATAGTTCACTGGTAGCCAGTGTAGAGATTTAAGGACAGGAGTGATGTGCTCGAATCTCTTGGTTCTTGTTAAGACTCTAGCAGCAGCATTCTGAATAAGCTATAGTTTCTTCACAGCTTTTTTGTAAAGACCAGCGAAAAGACCACTGCAATAGTCCAGCCTGCTGGAGATGAACGCTTGAATGAGTTTCTCAAGGTCTGGTCTGGACATGAGACCTCAGAGTCGTGCTATTTGCTGCAGATGTGATCTAGTTATAGCCTTAATGTGACCAGCTCAGGTCTGAATCGATTATGACACCAAGATTTCTAACCTGGGTCTTTGTTTCTATTCCTCTGGAGCCAAACTGAGCAATAACCTCCATCTTATCCTTCTTATTTCCAAAGACAGTAAATTCAGTCTCGTCTTTAACTGGAGGAAGTGTGGTTGCATCCAGGCATTGACGTTAATTTTAACCATTCTTTAGAAGTGTATATAACTCTTAGAACCCTTTCTGAGTTTTGTTCATTCTGGCTGATTTGTCCCAGTTTTAGCTCTTTTCTTAGTTTTTAGTTTTGTGACCTGAATCTTAGTTTTTAGTTTTGTGACCTGAATGAATCTATTTTGCTTTCTTTCTTTCTGTTTTTTTTTTTTTTTTTTTTTTTTTTTTTGTTGATCTGTCCCATCCTTGTAATGCTGCTCACAGAATCTTGATGTCCTCAGGTGCCCGTTGCTCCAGTAATGGTACCAACATCTCTTTCTGGCTCACCTATGAGAGCTGTTTGCTCTGGCTGCTAAATGCTTTCTTATTTAGAACGAGTCATGTGACCTTCACTGAAAAAAACAGCTCCTATATGTAACGTGATGGAAGTAGTTGCTTTTACTGAATGACTGATGAGAGTTTAAAAACAAAAAATAATGCTAATATCATACATAATCCTACCAAATCAGATGTGATGAATACAAGGTTTAAACAATTTTGGGGTTTATTTGTTCAATACTTGGTTTATTAGTCTGTTCACCAAATACATTTTAGTCAGAACACCTTTAGTAAAAACAAAATGATGAATAGAAAGGAGAGGGGAAAGTTGTGCATTTTCAACAAAAGCTGCTTTCATAACCCTCAAAGAATCTGGCAAAATCTGAACAGAAGGTACAAATGTAATGTAATTAACTAGATTTTGATATAGACAGGATTTAATCTCAAACTAGGAGCCAGAGCAGATGCTGTGGTAAACACAATCAAGTCAAAATGTCCATGTAGATGTGGAAACCTGTAGAAGACTGAACTGATCCTAAAATCAACCAGAAACCGATGTTTCTGACACCCCTTTGGTGTTTTACATTATTCTACTGTTTACAAATGAATGCTGTGGGTTAAATGTTTAAACACAAAATCTCAGCTTTTCTTCCTGCCAGATGAGTTTTGACTGCTTTGCACCTCAGCAGAAATCCTGCTGAGACAGAAGCTGACGGAAATGACCCTGAACAATGTCTGAGTGTGTATTAAAACGCAGCTACAGCAGGGAGTAAACACTCTGGTGTGTGTTTGTTTCTTATCCTTTTGGTTTGAAAAATGAGGAAAACCCCGCCAGACACTCCCTCTCATACGTATCAGC